GCGCATGATTAATATTAGTTTTTTAAATAGATTAATATAATTTTTTAAAGCAACTATCGTATAGAATTTTTTTGAAAAAAAAACACACACCATTTATTAGTTTGAAAAATATTCTCGTAAAAAATAAGGGAGTTGAGTTAGAAACTTTAACAAAAGAACTCAGCCTTAAGCAAAACATTCTAGTACTACTGCAACCCTATTGGTAATCAACGAATTCGAATGGTAGTGCTAGAAATAGCATAATACACTGTACATTTTGTGGTAAGGTAAAGATTAGATGTGGCATCATAAATACTCTAGTATGTCTCAATATAAGTGTAACGTAGTACATATATAACATATTATAATACTATAAATTTGGATAGCTGACTACTCAGATTTATAGTCCTATGATATATCATATATGTATTAGGTTGCATTTATATGGGACTGAAGAAGTATTAATTTAACTCAAATTTAAATTAAAAATAATAATTTGTGAATTGTAATTGTAGTGGACTCTCTTTTAATTTAAGGCACTACAATTTTAAAACAATGATCAATTTTAGCACGTGATTAATTTTTATTTATACTTAAAATTAATATCAACAGCAATATATAGCTCGTGCAAATACACAGGTTGGCGACTAGTTAACTGTATATTTTTAATTAAAACGGGAGCGTTTTCTGTACAAAACTAAACATCCGACGACTAATTGCATCCGAAGAGAAATCCCAAGTTTGTGTTGTGTGCCAAGGCTCAACTTAAGTACGTGCATCGCAGCTAGCTTGACATGCTTTAGTCACAGTATGGTTTGACTAAATCAACACAAAATGACATTACACTCAAACATTTTACAGCTCTCCAATCGTGATCAAGCACCAACCTTACAAATTATACACTATCATGAAGGGCCACCTTGGCCTCTATTGGGCACAGGACATCTCCATATAGTACAATTCTGCAGATCTCGAGTAAGTGTAGACGGTTAATTTACCAGCAGGTTGATTCTTTTGATACTTTAGGGTTAGTTTAGTTTTTGAGAGGTTTCACGCGAAACATACTTTACACCAAATTAATACCACCGATCATCTTAACACGAATAGTACTAGAATATATTTACAGGAATGACAAATGAGCTAGGATGCATATGACAAGACTTGAGAAGAAGATAACAAAAGAGAAGTCCTGCGAGCGAGATTGGGTGGAACCCAACGGATGCTGCCGGGCTTATTGTTTACTCCATCCGAGGAAGACATCAAGATGCCAACCACAACTAATCCGATCTTAATCTACAGGGATAATAACATCAGAGTACATGATATATCGGCCTTAATTTACTCTAGGCGAGGGAAGAATTCCAAGATATCTACTAGCTTTGAGCTATCTTTGCATGAAGCAGCAGTGTAAAGAATTTCTTACAGGACGACCAGAATCAATTTTTTTTCCCACCGGGGATAGATACTGAGGAAACCCAGGATGCTCAAAATGTGGTGTACAGTACTGTATGCACAACATTATGGTGGACAGTGAAACTGCCAGGACGCAGTAGAACTGCAAATACAATGTAATTAAAAAACAGAAAATTAATATCAGCAGTACATTCATTATATGCAGTCTTAATTCTATGTACTCCTGTATGCTACTAGTAGATACTTCCTCCATTCCAAATTGATCTACATATAGTTTTTTTAAGGTTATTCCTAAATGATCTACATATTTGTGCTCATTTATTAGGTCTATTCGTTATTTGTGCATTGGAGTAAATGAACATTGATGCATGCATCCATGCACACATGTATTTAGAGCAGGTACAATAGCAGGCTATAAGCCAGCTATAAACACATTTCGAGGAGATAAAAGATGAGAGAGAAGGGCAGCGGGCTACAGATTTGTAGCTAACTGTAGCACAGACTCCAAGGTACATGTGTATGGTAGGTGGGACCGGCTATTAATTATGTAGTATATGTTTATAGGTAACTATTGTATGAATTGGCTCTTAAGTTGACTATAGATAATTTGGAGCCGGCGGTTGGCTATACTATTAAACTTACTCTTATAACCCACATGCAATATCTTTATTTGCTATTGGCTAGGAAATAGTGGGGATGGTGCATGCATTGAGTTTTTTCTAGGAAATATAGTATTAGTTTTTCTTGGTCTTGGTGTACCTATGAAATATGTAGGTCAATTTGGAATGGAGGGAGTAATTTTTTGATTTATTATGATGTAGGAGTACTAATTTGTCCTTCAAAGTAACCAAATGTGATCTTGGCTCACTCTAGTAAAAAAAAAGGTTTGAGTTTCTTTAATATGCATTTATAGTGTGTGAACTAATTTTTGCATCAACTTTCTTAATTTCATTCAAGCCACATTTATGACATGTTTCTTTTTCTCCATTCATATTTCCTGTATGGATCAATGCAAAATTCGACTCGAATCTAATCTATACGTTTCACAGAATTACACAGTACCTCTCTCCTCGCTCATTGTACATTTGCCTTTGTGAACAAATATTGCGAGTCAGAAACCAGAGTGCCACAACACAAATTAAACGGCTCCACCAAAACACAGCACAACAGTTGGCCAGCCTTTTGGATCAGCTAGCTCCACGCAAACCCTAGAATTAGGAGATGATTATACTCATCTGTGCCTCCGTGTGGTACTCCAACTAACCCCTTTCTAACCCTACTTTGGGAGGCCGTTTTCTCGTTAACCGAGGGATGATGCATGCCTTGGCTTGGCTCACATGGGAGAGGGAGGGGATGGGAATCTTGGTTTGTTTTTACATGGGGCCGCGTGCAAACACACACCCTCCTCCTCCTCCTCTTCTCTTCCTCCTTCCCCTGCTGCATGGTCCCCACGGTGGTTGGGATTTGTGTGACCGTGCCAAAGTGAAATTGACTACACCCTTCCATGAGTGCGTGGCCAATTATAAAATTGACCCCACCGTGTACTGCACTGCTCCTACTGTTGATGGAGAAAACTTTGCCTGTACTACTCCGGTTAATCATCCATCCAGGCCAGCTGATGGCAATTCAATTCACATTCCTTGGGTGATTATTAGTACTACGGAGTTACTGATGCCGTAGCATTGCCAGTTATAAGAGCGATTTGATGGTCAGCTTATTACAGCTTGTACAAAAGGGGAATGGTCGGTGCTAGGGAGATCTCTGCCGTTGGCTTCCAATCTGACGGCCATGCACGTACGCAACGCATGAGATGATGAGAGAGACGAATGGAGTAGGAGTATATTGTGCAGGTTTGGAACTTGCCTTTCCCTTTCACATATATAACCTGGAGGGAGCCCTAGGATCCTCAAAGGCAGATTTATAAAAATATTTTGTGTTAGTGGTAGTGTAGCACGGTTACCGTGGCTAAGCAAAATTAGCCATAGACCGATGGGGTAGGGAGACATCTTCCTAGGTAACACCATCACGCAAAACATCTCTCAATGTACCTTCGAGCCTCTCCACGCACGCAATATGGACTAGTTTACGCCATCGCCTACCTTGAGAACGCAATACTAAATTAACCCTAACTAATTAGTACTCCCTCCGTTTTAAAATATTTGACACCGTTGACTTTTTAAGTACGTGTATGATCATTCGTCTTATTCAAAAAATTTAAGTAATTATTTATTCTTTTCATATCATTTGATTCATTGTTAAATATACTTTCATGTACATATATAGTTTTACATATTTTATAAATTTTTTTAATAAGTCGAACGGTCAAACATGTGCTAAAAAGTCAACGGTGTCAAACATTTTGAAACGGAGAGAGTAGCCCCTAATAACAATGTGGTGGGCAAAAGGGCATTAACCGACAAGCTTCCAGCACTCGCAACTCGCAAGTTCCAGTGTTTTTTTTTTTTTTTTTGAAGCAACGTGCTATCGCGTCAACGAATCCGGCCGTTTCGGCGTTAGCGTGGACGTGGGCTATTGGCCCGGTTTCACGTGAGAAAAAAAAAGGCCGATTACGTGCGGTTTTCATGGGGAATAAGTTCATCTGATGTCCCTGAACTTGTCTACGAATTCGATTTTCTTTCTTCAACCGAAAAACCATATACAGCGGGTCCCTCAACAGTCAAAACCATTAAAAAATAAGTCCCAAGATGATTTGGACGACGGTTTCAGCTGACGTGACGCCTACATATCTAATTTGACTATGTCTTCATATAACGTGGCGCTTATGTGAAATTTGATTTGGAAAAAAATAAAAATTGTGGGTCCACATATCAACTTCATCGAATAATTAAGGAGCTGTTCAGATTACTGCTATTTTCAACCATTCCATTCTTTTTGTGAAGTTGTCAAAAAATGTCTACGTTTAGTTTGTTGCCAAAATTGGTAAATACAAAAAAAATTCTACCAAAATTTTAGCAATATTGCCATCTTGCCAAAACTTGTTAAGGTTTATTTTAGATATAATCTGAACATGCCCTAAATTAAAAAATGTAACTCTCACCCCCATCTTCTTCCTTCTCTTTCCCCATCTCCCCTCTTCATCTCTCTCCCCTCTCCTCTCTTTAGGAGGCTGCGACACCCTCGTCTCCCTTGTTATCCCCGGGCGAGGAAGGAGAGAGAGAAAGGAGAGAGAAGATGTGATGAGTGACGATGACATATTGGGCCACATAGGCCTACCATTTTTTATTATTTCGTGTGTGTAACTGACATGTGGGTCTCATAGTGTTTGTTATTTTTTTTGGATCGAACTACCACATAAGCGCCACGTTAATGCCTCGTAGAAAAAAATACCTAGTCAAAGGAGCCACGTAGATGTCACATTAGCTAAAACTGCCAAGGGATCTCTTTTGCACGGTTTTGTAAATTGGGGGTGCGTTGTATCCGGTGTTGCGGTGCAGGGACCTAAAGTGAACTTATTCCTTTTCACGGAGAAATCGACTGAAAACTCACCGCCAGCCCAACGAACGGCCCAGTTACTCAGTTAGACGAAAACCCACGCGTCCGCTGCCACTTGACGCCGCGCCACGCGCTCAAGGCCACACGTTGGCACCGGCGGCTGCACCTCGCCCTCGATCAGTACGCGTCTCAGAGTTTGGCCTCGTCGTACCTATGGAGACGGTCGCCTCGCTCTCGCGCGCCGCGCTCGCCGGCGCGCCCGCCGCTACACGCGCGACAGCGTCGCCCGTGAACAGGGCCGTGGTCCCTGCGGCGTCCCGGCCGCGCGGGGGACGCCTTTGCTGCCGACGCTCGCTGACGGCCGTCTCCGCGGCGGCAGGGGCTTCCCCTCCCGTCTCCCCGTCGCCTAGCCCCGATGGCGGCTCCCCCGGCGTGTGGGACGCTCTCGGCGGCGTGTCCGTGCTCGCCGCCGGCACCGGCGAAGCCGTTCAGCTCAGGGACCTGTGGGACCCCACCGAGGTAGTTGTCATCTTCATCTCTGTTTTTCTCGGAATCACGCACTCAAACACGAAGAATCGGTGATAGTTTTCGGAGTCCTGTGTCGTTGTTGCGCGTAGGGGGTGGCCGTGGTGGCGCTGCTCCGGCACTTCGGGTGCTTCTGCTGGTGAGGAGATGGAGCCGACGCTTCCATGTTCGCTCCGTTTCTTGTGTTTCTCGGCTGTTAATTACTAACATTTTTGTCCATGGTCAATCAAATGGATTATGATTTATGAAGCTGGGAGCTGGCCTCTGTTCTGAAGGAATCCATGGCGAAATTCGACGCTGCCGGGGCCAAGCTGATCGCCATCGGCGTCGGGACTCCTGACAAAGCTCGCATTCTCGCCGATGGGGTAAGCGTTTACGCTTGCTTTGAAATGAAAGCGTATTGGAGTCAACGCGGTAATAGATTGATCCCAAGCAAGAGTACACACAGGGACGATACATCCTTATTTCTATAACCGACTTATAGAAATAAAATCGGGGGAGAATTAGGGAAACCGAACACAATACAAATATGACTCTAACATCAAATTGAGATTTAGAGAGCGTACCAGCGTGCTCATTGTTACTGTTATTACGGCATTTAGCATGATCAATTCACTCTGTTCACTGACTTTCTCTGAGATTTTGCGCACTGCAGCTGCCGTTCCCTGTTGATAGCTTGTACGCTGACCCCGAGCGCAAGGTACGTGAAGAGAAATCTAACGGGCATTGGATTTTGACGATGTATTATGCTTATGCACGTATTTACTATGGATACTCATCTTTTCAGGCTTACGACGTATTGGGGCTTTACCATGGTCTGGGTCGGACATTAATCAGTCCTGTAAGCATCAAAATTCAGTACTAGTAGTGTAATTCTGTAAGCTTGTGGCAATGCAATTCTGAACATTTGCACGAGTGGCATTGAAGTATTAAACATGTGATGTACGTCCATGAAGGCGAAGATGTACTCGGGGCTTAATTCCATCAAGAAGGTAACCAAGAACTACACGCTCAAGGGCACACCAGCAGACCTGACGGGTATCTTGCAGCAGGTTGTTGAACTCTGTGCTTTGCATGTACAAATCCTTTGTGGCTCTGTATTGAAGTTCAGAGTTTCTCTTGCATCTTGGTTCTGATCTGTCGTTCGCTGCTCATCGTACTCTGGTTTCTGTTCAGGGTGGTATGCTTGTGTTCAGAGGGAAAGAGTTGCTGTACTCATGGAAAGACAAAGGCACGGGTGATCATGCTCCTCTGGATGATGTCCTCAACGCTTGCTGCAATCGAACTTCTTGAGGTCTCTAGCAGTCGGAAGATGTGTATGTAAATATATGAAATGCTCAGCATGCCAAACAGAGAGCAATTAGACTCAACAGTACTAGATGTTCGATTAATTATGCATTGTTGGTTTGCTTATGTACTTAGCATGATATTGGATTAGCTACCCAATGGACATGACACTACAGTCTGAACTCTGAACTTCTGATGTATAAGGTACAGTTACACCTAATCAATTAGATATCTCTACTCAATTAAAAACAGAGTCGCGTTCCTTCCATCCCCTCCTTCTACCACACGTATCAGGCTCGCACGTGTAAAATACGTAGATAAAGACGAGATCCAATGTTTTATCCCTAATACTCCCTCCGTCCTATAATATAAGGGATTTTGAGTTTTTGATTGCAATGTTTGACCACTCGTCTTATTCAGAAAATTTGTGTAAATATAAAAAATAAAAAGTTGTGCTTAAAATACTTTGGATAATAAAGTAAGTCACAAAGAAAATAAATAATAATTCTAAAATTCTTTAAATAAGACGAATGGTCAAACAGTACAAATAAAAACTCAAAATCCTTTATATTATGGGACGGAGGGAGTATCTTTAACTAATCCCTTTTAATATGGGTCATAGAGCATGTACTTGTTACTAGTACATGTTAAAAGAACTTGAAGAAAAAAATCGCACGTATCTATCTTACAATTTAACGAAGAACTGGTATGCTCTACATGTTCTTAACTTCTACTTCTCTACTTTTCACAAGTACGTTTTTATTTTAAGTTCAACAGAAAATTTGTTTTAAAAACTAATATATATTAATTTATTTTTAATTTTTAACTAATATTTAATGATACGTTATCCCGAACTATAGGAAGGAAAGGCAAATTGTTGTGTTCTGATTGCGTGTTCTCTAAATCTTTGTTTGGCAAATGGGATTGGAAAATAATATCCCACCCTTCAAAAGACAATATTGTATCATACACATCTATTCTTCATAACTGATTTAATCCTAGTCATTCATCCATTTCCATATCCCAGTCTCATCTCTCATATCCCATTTTAGAAATACGCCTGGAAACTCGTGGTTACACCCCCCGCCATCCGCAACGACCTCCACACCGCAACGGTCCACTCGCTCGCCTCCGTCTCCCTCCCGCGTCTAGGGTTTCGCCACGTCTCACGCAGCCATGGCCGCGGCGGCCGCGTCCACCTCGCTCCCCGTCCCGCGCGTCTCCCTCCCGCCGTCCGCTCGCCCAGCCGCCGCTCCCCGGCACGGTCTCCTCATCCCCGGTCGCCGTGGGTGCTTCCGTCTCCGCGGCTCACCAGCGGCACCGGCCGCCGCCGCCTCGGGCTCCCCTTCCGTGCCTTCCTCTTCCCCGGAGGCTGGGTCGGGCATCGGGGATGCCCTCGGTGGCGTCGCCATCTACTCCGCGGCCACCGGCGAGCCCGTGCTGTTCAGGGACCTGTGGGACCAGAACGAGGTAGAGATGCTCGTCGGTCTCCCCCTAATTAGCTCGATCTACTTTCTAGTAAACTGCAAGGAGATCTGAGCTAGGAAATTTTTCCTTCATGAATGATCAAAATTTTGCACACATGATTTTTGACAATATAAGATGTGATGGGTTGCTGCTTGAGCAAATTTAGAGTCCTTTTGAAGACTGGAAAACTATCTGAACATTGGAGCATTGTTATTTCACTATGAGGAGTTTTGTATGAACACGATGTAGTACATAAATAAACTGGAGAACTTCTCTGTTGTGCAGGGAATGGCTGTTGTTGCCCTGCTAAGGCATTTTGGGTGCCCTTGCTGGTGAGAAAGATTTGCTCCTCTCGTGGATATCTGTTTCCCGGATTTATGACCTCATTCATAAGAATTTGTTGCTGACTTGTTTAATTTCTTTTCTGTGCTAATCATGGACATTATTTGTGCTTCCTGTAGTTGGGAGTTGGCCTCTGTGTTGAGGGATACAAAAGAGAGATTTGATTCAGCTGGTGTCAAGCTAATAGCCGTTGGTGTTGGCACTCCAGATAAAGCCCGTATTCTTGCTGAGCGTGTACGCAGTGTTCTTCAATTTATACTTCAGCTTTTAACACACACATCATGAACAGTTCTTTCATAATGAAAAACCTTGATTTACTAGTTCAAACTATGGAATTTGACCTTTTGAACCTCCTATCTGTTATAATATGAAAAAAAAATTGGCTATGAATTATTGCAATAGATCATTACAGCTGCTGGTCAATCATGTCGATTGTCTAGTTTGCCCCTCTAATCTCACAACTTGCTGGACAATGGATTTGCAGAGCAAAGCAATTTTTGACATTGTTTATTGTGCCCGTAAAATTTTTCCATCCCAAATGACATTTTTCCAAAAAAAATGCTGATTGCAGTTACCATTTCCATTGGACTACCTCTACGCAGATCCTGAGCGCAAGGTGCATATTCTTGTGCCCACCTATTTATGAATCTGTTTTATATCTTCACAGGTCACACTTTCTTACTTAAGAGTACCCCATGTGCAAAGTGTCCTTGCCTTTCTATTGTTTGAACTGCACTAACAGGACCTGTCCCATAAAATGTGTAGTTACTACTTTGGAGAAAATATTTTAAATTTTTGTCTCTGTTGCGCCTGATTGGATGAAATCAGAACACATAGATGCAGTATTCATGTCAACTGACAGCAGGAAAACTTTTGGTGTTAGATTGCATTCACAAATGGAAGGTTTCTACAGCTGTAGAAAGTGGTTTCTATCTTCTAAACCTCTCTTTTTTTCTCTTAATTTTTTAAAATATTTTTTCAACTATAATAAGTGCACTAATAGTATGCAAATTTGTTCCATAAGTAAGCATTCAATTACAATTGGGGTCTTCAGATACTGAAATTCTCCTGAACAGTATATGATGTATTTATTGTTCTTCCCTGTCCAGACATAGATGTTGATATCTGAATTAGACAGAAGCATCATCAGTTTGGACATAATACACATGAAGTTCAATTATCTTTGCATTGGACATTTTGTTGTTGATAAAAAAAACATTTTAATTCTTCTGTTACTGATTGCACAACTTACATTGAGCCTTTTCACCTTCAGGCCTATGATCTCTTGGGTTTGTATTTTGGTATTGGTCGCACATTCTTCAATCCAGCCAGTGTAAGCATCATTAAATTTTGTGATTTCACTTGCATAGCTGTCTTGTCATGAAAAATGTTACATATTTCCTTGAAGGCAAGTGTGTTTTCACGATTTGACTCCCTCAAGGAGGCAGTGAAGAACTATACAATTGAAGCCACCCCAGATGATAGGGCTAGTGTTCTACAACAGGTTGGATCATATGCCCACACATCTGTGCTTCTTCACCATCATCTGAACTTATCTTTAGGATTTTAGGAAGAATCTTTGATGCTTACATTACTTGTGTGTGCTAGGGTGGAATGTTTGTGTTCAGAGGGAAAGAATTAATATATGCAAGGAAAGATGAGGGCACTGGTGATCATGCACCTCTGGATGATGTCCTCAACATCTGTTGTAAAGCCCCTGCGGCATGATATTGTGTAATCAATGTCCCATGAGAATTTTCATAGCCTGGTAGGACAGACTTTCCTTTTGCATCTTTTTTTTTCTCCCGAACATTTTCTTTTGCATCTTAGTATATAAAGTAGCTTGAGTTTTCTTTTGCAAAATAGAAATTTCATCTTCGTGTTAACTTGGTGGCCTGTTCACAAAAAAGGACGATAAAAGAAAGTTAGAATATACTTCCGTTGTTATGCCATGCTTAGTACTTTCATCGTCAATTCTCATTTACCATCAGCATGCTCTTTTCTCTGTTAACAAGCTGCACGTGGTGTTCTATGCTTTCCTTTGTGCAGGTTCTGTTCGTGTCCCAAAGTTGTATGCAGAAAAGCATCTCTTGATTTTGGAAGGCTGGCTTCTGCAAGGATAGTATCTCTTTGTCTGTACGTCTGATCTACCATGCTGTTGATATGTAATATATCAGTTGAAAACTTGAGGGATGTAGGCAGACCAAAGGACTTTCTCATGCCATAAGCTCAGCAGTTCTTTTCCTTTTCCTCATAGAAATGTACTAATTATAGAAGAGAATCTTACACTGTACAATAAGTTTGTGTTAAAGTTGGCGAAATTTTCCTACAAACCTAAGTAGTATTAAAGCTGGTGAAGTACGGCTCCTTCACAGCATACCTGAACTTTACCCGCGCTGGGCTCGTGTGGTCTTTGACTCTTTAGTTTTGATTTGCATGTTTTAAAATGACCATATTTTCTAATTAGTAATTCTGTTCTGAAATCCGTTTAATGTATCGGGCTTGTTACAATTAAATCATCAAATCACGATCCATATCAAGTATGATTCACGTGTGTCCCATAAATTATTTTAATTGCAAACCAAACATCCGTTTCTATTAATATTTTATTCATCCTTACGATTTTCTATTACTATCAAGTATCAATATTGACTATGTTTCAGCCTAGTGGAGTATTCTTTTATGCAATGCTAGGCCTATACGGAGTACGACTTAGAGTGGGTTGGTATCATGTTTATGTTTCTTGCCCCTAACTTCTAATTTGTTCTACAAAATTATAAGTTGAACAATATGATACAAAACCTTTAAGTTTGTGTAGTACTATATTATTTGAATTATTTTTTTCCCGCGATAACGCGCAGATTACGAGCTGGTAAATTATATTTCTTGAGGAGTGCTTCAGATATCCAAATTCCAAAGTATGACATCTGGTATACGTCATGTTTGAACGCAAGGGGAAAAACTAATAGGGGTGGTTTGATGCAACAACTGCATTGGAGCTCAGATGGTCAAATCCTTAGGCTACCACCCACCCATCCAAATGCAAGTTTGGTGCTTCCAGGAGAATAAGAAACTGCCATGAACATGCAGCCCATGTGAATAACATTGGGATATTTTAACCAGTAAAACAGTTCACCGAAACAAACTCTTGTTGGCCTCAGAAACCAATCCACTCTATGTGCATTTACTAATACTCCATCCGGCTCAAAATATAAGCATTTTTAGACTCTCACACGTTCTCCGAGATGCTATTTGGACAAATAATATTTATAAAAATAAGATATTTTAAATAAAAAGTGTTGCATATTACTTCATCCGTTTCTAGATATTTGACACTGTTGATTTTTAGCATATATTTGACCGTTCGTCTTATTCAAAAACTTTTGTGAAATATGTAAAACTATATGCATACATATAAGTATATTTAACAATGAATCAAATAATAGGAAAAGAATTAATAATTATTTAAATTTTTTGAATAAGATAAACGGTCAAACATATTTTAAAAAGTCAACGGCGTCAAATATTTAGAAACGGAGGGAGCATGATAGTTGGTTTAATAGTAAATATAGTAACATCAATTTTACATGATTAATCTTTTTCTTTTTTTGCTATTAATAGTCAAAGTTTAAAATATTTAACTTGTCACTACATTAAAAATACTTATATTTTGGGACAGAGGGACTAGTATTTACTGGGCCTGTTTGGTAGCCCGTTTTCGCAGCTGTCTATGCTGCGCTGCGTAGCTTAGCCGTTCGGCTGCAGCAGTTTGCATTGTTCTGTAGACATTCGGGCTGGCTGGCTACTATTGGCACTGTAGCTGCTGCTACTGCAGCCAGTTCTTCCGAACAGACCCACTGCTAGCCGGATAAATTCAAAGTTACCTACAACTGTAACATCTACTATGTTGCTTTCAATTGCCGAGTACGATTCGACAATGGTGCTTAGTTAGTGATATGCTTTCAAAATGGGAAAAAAAACCTATGAAACGTGATACATTGAATATGTAGTATACTTTTATATGCTGATGTTGACACAAAGGATACGTACTAAGTGTGATATCGCTACAATACAGGATTTGGTCTAGTACATATAGGTTTTGATACCTAGGTTTCATGTTGATGTCAATTAGCACACAAACTATACCGCATCTTAAAATTATGTCGTGCACTTGCACGACTCCTTTCTAAATTTGAATGGTTAAATTTCTTCTTCTCGATTTGTACAATATCTAATCCTTCACAATTGATTCTGAAGTCCAACAAGAAATAAGGAATTGTCTAGTTCAGTCACCTAAAAATATATAAAAAAATTCAGTCAATTGTTTTTATAGCTAAGATAGTGTTGAGTAACCTCTTCCCTCACCTTCTTCCGTGTGCTGTGTCCACTCGTTCGAGTGTTCGACGCCACCTCCCTCACCCAACCACTCCACTTCTGACCTCATTTGTTGGATGGAAGGCATAAACGGCGCCGACGAAGCCTATTAGATTGGGCTCCTCCCTGCCTCCCCACTCTCACCTTTCCAAAGCAAGACCTTTTGTGCCACCCCACTCTGCCCCGCTGACAGCCCCCTCATTGTTATCCTCCATCACCACAACTCCAACACCACCCCGCCGCCTCACTACCCACCCGTTGCTATAGCTCACTGTCGATCCAACCACTCACATGACCATCTCTCTAAACCCGGAAAAGCTCCCCCCCTCTTCCTAACTTCCCTTCCCATCCTAAAATCTAATCTATAACTTACCATCACAACCAACCATCACCGTTGTGAAGAGTAGTTCACCGTTGTTACCGCCATTATTGGAAAGTCGCCATCGTAGTTAAGTACCCCGCTTCCTCACTCTCCTCGTCTTGAGCTTGAAGACACCCCTAATCCAACGCTCTCCTCGTCTTGAGCTTGAAGACACCCCTGATCCAACGGCCAAAGAGCACTCTAAGGCTAACATTTTTCAAGAATCCTATCTTACTATAAAGTTATCCCCTACTAACTCCTTAAGCTTAACATGTAAAGATGCCACATCATCGTCCACTAAGAAGATATCACATCATCATCCACTAATTAACAAGATGCCACATCATCATCCACTAACAATCATCACATTTAAATATCATGCAAACATGCTATATCTTTAGAGTTTTTATAATTTAAGAGCTTTTCAAATACAAACTTGTTAAATTATCATCCAACATAATTCACATAATGTTTCAATGTATATCTTTATTATGTTTTATGATATCATATATACTTATATAGTTCATCCTCACTTAGTTAGTGCTTAAATGATTAATCTATGGTCTAAATTATCTTTCTCCTTTTTTCCTCTAATTAAGTCATATCACATCAATTGCTTTTAGTCTTTAGATGATTAATCCACGGTCCAAACTATCTCCCTACTTCTCTTCTTTCATAAAGTCATACCACCTTACTTTTTACGTTTGAATCACCATTCTACATACTATTTAAATTTAAATTATCATAAACCATATTAATTTACTTAATCTGATGTTATCTAGCTATCTTATACGTTATTTTTTTATTGTTATCATACTAAATTTCTGTAGCAATGTGCGGGGTCTCATCATCTAGTTAATTAAATATCAAGGACACGAATGAACGGACGCACGGCTTACAAATGGACGGAGCTCATCCCACGCCAGGAGCTGAGCCGACGTAGACGGTCTCGTGAGTTGTGTTGTGTTGTGACTTGTGTGAGTTGTTACCGGCAAGTCCGCATCCAACGATCGGGGCCCCCCGCTTCTCGTCCACACCGCTGACGCCATCCACGCTTTCGTTTCCTTCCATTTTAGACCACCACCGCGAAATGCAAATTTTTAGACCACCCACCCAAATCCTTTCCTCCTCCGCCATCCCAATTCCATTCCATTCCACCACCCCCAAAAAAATCTCCACCCGCCGCCGCCTCCGGCGACACCGCCACCGCCCACCGGAGAGATGTTGCTGGTGAGCCAGGCCGCCAATGGTTCCGTCTCCGCGCGGCGGCTGCCCTCCAAGCAGCCCGGCCGCCACGGCGGTAGCGGCAGCAGCAGCGTCCCCAACCCGTACCCGCTCTTCGCCACCACGCGCCTCCTCCCGCACCGCCGCCGCCGCCGCCTCGCGCTCTCCGGCGCCGACGCGCGGCGGGGGGCCCTCGCCGCCGCGGGGGAGGGCCCCTCCGGATCCCCCGCCACCACCACCGCCACCGAGGACCCCGTCCTCGTCGGCGTTACGGACGAGGGCGTCCCCCTCGAGGGCGTCATCCAGTTCGATAAGCCCGGCGACGCCGCCGCCGAGTCCAAGCTCGTCTCCTACGCGTACGTAATAACTCCCCCGATGCACCTCGATCCATTCCTCGTGCTCGCTGATTTGATTCGGTTTCGCTGAGCGGTGCACTTGCGTTCCGCAGGAAGCTGGGGCTTCTGGCCAGCGGCGATGTGCTCTGCCTCCTCGTCTTCTCCGCGATAGGAAGGTTCAGCCATGGGCTGCCTGTTCTTGACGCGGAGACGTTCAAGACGGCCGATCCCTTCATTGCTGGTCAGGAAAATGTGACAGCCTTCTCCCCCTGCTTATCATTTTTTGGAGGAAGGATTGCTTACAGAATGGGGTGTTGTGCAGGATGGTTGCTCAGTGCCTATCTCCTTGGCGGATTCGGGGATGATGCGAAAGGTCGCAATGGCGTGGGGAACGCTGTAGTTGTTGCGGCCAAATCCTGGGCTGTTGGGATACCGGTAATTATCAGTTCTGTTTCGAAATTCAAATGTGACTGCTAATTGGAATGTGTTTGTATCTACATATAATTTGTGATGTTATTTTGCTATCATGGGTCAACACATAAGTAAACTGTATAATGTGGGAATTGCGAACTTTTATCTTTGAGTGTCTTCACTTATAACTTGGACTAATGGAACCCATTCTTTTGTTACAATGAAGCTGTATGCTGTTTGCTTGACAATTGACTGATGCCACCTTGTACCAGTACCCAAACCATTTCCGTTCTATCCTCCATGTGCTACATCATAGGCTCGTAGATTGTCGTGCAAACTACATGACACCTACTTTTACGTACACTAATACAGACAATGTCTTCTGTGTGTACATGTGTGCTTGTGCGAGGGTGGGGTGTTCTACCAAGATATACTCTCTTGAATGTAACGTAGTATATAATATCTTCATAAATGATGATATATTCCTCTATTATATCTTCATAAATGATGATATATTCCTCTATTATATCTTGGACAGTATTTTCAGCATCTGGATCTATTTCTATTCTGAACTCTACAACAGCTGTCCATCTGCCTTATCGTGTGATTGTTTGCTAAAGTTTATTGACTATGAGTATGTAGTTAATGTTAATGTTAATGTTTTTTCTGGTGTTTCATAGCTTATGTTTATTCTGTTTTCTCTCTCTCCTCTTTAGTTGGGCCTCGCCATTCGAGCACTGTCATCTGGTCATATTCCACCAACTCCTTTTATCCTGGTAGCCATGGGAAGTACTTGGGTTTTGTTGACTGGATGGCGTGCCCTGGTTTCTCTACTATTTTCCACTGGACAGAGCCAGCAAGATGATGTCTACAGGCGGGGAAGTCCTTTTGAGCTTTTTGAGGTTAAGAAAGTTCTTCAAATTATTGGCATATTTTTTTACACCTGCAACTAGTTTGCTGAAGAGTGATGTTCTAGGCCTATACTTTTGTTGTCACGTAAATGGTTCCATTTGGAGCAACTAGTAAAGAATGCATACAACCACATCTAACCATTTAAACTTTTGCGCCTTATTACCTGATGATACCATGCTACTCACGATGATTAGAAACTCTACATTTTATTGACTAACCCTATAGAGTGTCATCTAACAGCCACCGAACAATACTATCAATCCTCACACATCAGTATAACTGCAAAAATGATGAAATCAAACAATTATTTGAAATTTTTCAATGAGCATGGATCTTATGTTTCTTTATATATATTGGGAGTTTGCTTTGGTCATAAGTTGGCTACTTGCCTGAATATATCTTGGGAGTTTGCTTTCTGAATATATCTCACTGTAATCAATTTGTAAGTTGTAACATCATGGCTCCAAACTCATCATGCATGACTGGAGGAGCTCATTGAGGTAGCCAGAATTCGTAAGTTAATAAAATGGTGAGAGCTGAACTGTTGCATTTTTTTTAAAAAAAAATCTGAAAGTGATCATGTGATAAGGTTTCTTGGTTTCTGTCGAAAGCCATTTTTTCCTTGCATTCTTACTGATAATTGTTTACTCAAGAAACTGCTTGCAAGAAGCGCTAACTGCTTCTATTGTTTTGACAGTTGCTCACATCACTGGTGCGAAGGTGGTGATATCTGATATTGTGTAAAGGTGATGATTGCCATCCAACACTAGGTTCTAATTTCTATCGTGTAAGTACAATTTTGGAGGGAAGATGAGAAGGCTAGATCATAGTTGGAAGCACATCCATAATCGCTTTCTGTAACAAGATGGCACAAGGCTGTTACATATGTTAATCTTGAAGATGTACTACTAAATCCATCACTGACATCTCTTTCTTGTGTAGCATGGCCCAATCATTTTGATTACTACTCGTAATAAACTCTGCCTCTTGCCACGTTACAATATTTTTTTTAAAAAAAAGGAGAGGAAAATCACCTTAGAGCCACTGAATTTGATTGCCAGTATTTCACCCATCACACGCTTTTTCTACACTGTACCAGATTGTTGGTACTTCTTTTTATCCCCGTTTCACTGGTCACTACTCACTAGTTAACTATTCAATGGACACTATTTAGTTCAATCCATTACCACTCTTTTCATTAACAAATTCACAAATATTTAAAATATATCATATTACCAAAGTATGATGGAATTTTACCCTCTCAAAATAAGAACTACACAACTTTTGTTCATTATAATCCAATGAAAAGTTATTATAGTTAAGTTTGAAATAGTATCGGTTAATACTGATAAGTATTTAGAAATGGAATTGTGAAATTTCAAGGGATTTTCGTGGGAATTGAACTAATTCTGATGAAATTTTGTAAACTTTCCTGCACCTCTAATATAGCCCTTAGGGGATGTTTAGATTCATGGGTGTAAAGTTTTGGCGTGTCACATCGAATATTATATATGGTGTTGCGTGGGGTGTTCGGGCACTAATAAAAAAACTAATTACAGAATCCATCAGTAAACCGCGAGACGAATTTATTAAGCCTAATTAATCCGTCATTAGCAATTGTTTATTGTAGCACCACATTGTCAATCATGGAGTAATTAGGCTCAAAAGATTCGTCTTGCAAATTAATCGTAATCTGTGTAATTAGTTATTTTTTAGCCTATATTTAATATTTCATACAGGTGTTCAAACGTTCGATGTGATAAGGTGTAAAATTTTGGAGTGGGATCTAAACAGGGCCTTAGTATCATATTGAGCTCAACACTGACAAGTAGTAGTACTAAAAATGGAGATAGTACTGAACTCAAATTGGTATACTCCATATTTTGTGCTGGAGCTAGGACGAGCAGCAAAAATATGTGGTGAAAACTTAAAAATTATCATTGGATTGAAAAATAAATGTTCAAGATTCGTTCACATCATCACGAGTAAAATTTTGTTACAAGTAAACTCGTGATCACGTGAATGAATCCTATACGTTTATTTTTTAATTTAACGGTAGTTTTTAGATTTTTCACCACATATTTTCTAATTTCCCAGGACGAGCAGGACTGCGGGAGCCAACTTCAGAACAACTCTTTTTAAGCCCACAATGGAAACGTGGCAAGTAGTCCGTCAATGTAGGGGCCACACGACTACTACACGAGCAAGCGAGCTGCTGCCGCCAAGTGTGCAGGTGCCGTGCAGTTCAGCTTGCCAGTTGGATAAGCCGAGGCCTCAACTCCTTCGTCGCCTTCCGCCGCTACTCGATCAGCAGCTCAGCCTCCTCACCGTCGCAGTCTTCACGACTCCTCCCCGCGCCTTCTCGACGTTCTAGAACTCTCCCTCCTCCTCCTCTCCATTTCCGAACCTTTTTAAGCTCCCCTACGAGCTTCCATTCTCAGATCTGCAAGAAAGAACAGCTAGAACAATCACTTGCAAGCATACACACACCAAGCTAGCTAGCTCGATCGTCGCCAATGGCGTCGTCCTCCCTCGTCACCTCTCTCTTGTTCAGCAGTAGCAGCAGCAGTAACACTGCAACTAGTACAAGCTCAAGAAGAAGCTTCAGTCTTTTCTCCAAGAACCAGTACTGCAAGCCTAGGCCTCTCAGGCGAAGCAGTAGCCGCCTCCTCGTCAGGTGCTCCTTGCAACAGCAGCAGGAGGAGAAGGCGGCGCCGGCGGCGGAGTCGCACCACGCCGGCGGCGGACAGGACGACGCCGCCACGGCGTCGCACCACGCCGTGGAAGGAGAGAACGGTGTCGCAGACGCCGACGGCGGCGGCGTGAAGAAGAGCAAGGAGGAGTTGGAGGAGGAGGAGCAGCAGGAGGTGGACTGGAGGTCGGACGAGGAGTTCAAGAGGTTCATGGGGAACCCGTCCATCGAGGCCGCCATCAAGCTGGAGAAGAAGCGCGCCGACCGGAAGCTCCGCGAGCTCGACCGCGAGCCCGACGCCAACCCGCTCGCCGGCCTCCTCCGCGGCCTCGCTAGGGGCCAGCTCGCCCGCGAGAAGGAGAGGCTCGAGCTCGCCGAGAACACCTTCAAGGCGCTTGACCTCAACAAGGTATATCAATGGCGTCTTGACGTACGTCTTCGGTCTTCCCAATTGGGCTAAGATGAGTAGATGAGGGAAAAAAATATATGATTTGATCGTTTGGTCGATTGGTGTGTGCAGCTCAAGAGCTGCTTCGGCTACGACACGTTCTTCGCCGTGGACGTCCGGAGGTTCGGCGACGGCGGCATCTTCATCGGCAACCTGAGGAAGCCCGTGGAGGAGGTGAGGCCGAAGCTGGAGAAGAAGATCGCCGAGGCGGCCGGCACAGACGTCACCCTCTGGTTCATGGAGGAGAAGAACGACGACATCACAAAACAGGTACCAACTTATAATCTTGTGGCATAATGTTATCGATTGCATTTGATCACTCGTGATTGATGTTGTTGTGGCTTTGATTTATGGATCGTCGAAACTTGAAAGCAATTTATCTTGGCGTGTTCTTGTGATTGGATTGATCAGGTCTGCATGGTCCAGCCGAAGGCAGAGATCGACCTGCAGCTGGAGATCACCAAGCTGAGCACGCCGTGGGGATACCTGAGCGCCGTGGCGCTGGCCGTCACGACGTTCGGGACGATCGCCATCATGAGCGGCTTCTTCCTCAAGCCCGGCGCGACGTTCGACGACTACGTCTCCGACGTGCTCCCTCTCTTCGCCGGCTTCCTCTCCATCCTCGGCGTATCCGAGGTAAAGATCTGCCGCTGAGCTCTGCTCACTTATGCTGCTGATCTCGGCGTGTTCTTGGACCAATCCGGCCGATGATCCATGGCAGATCGCGACGAGGCTGACGGCGGCGAGGTACGGCGTGAAGCTGAGCCCGTCTTTCCTGGTGCCGTCCAACTGGACGGGGTGCCTCGGCGTGATGAACAACTACGAGTCGCTGCTGCCGAACAAGAAGGCCCTGTTCGACATCCCGGTGGCGCGCGCGGCGAGCGCGTACCTCACCTCGGTGGCGCTCGCCGTCTCCGCGTTCGTCTCCGACGGCAGCCTGAACGGCGGCAAGAACGCGCTGTTCGTCCGGCCGGAGTTCTTCTACAACAACCCGCTGCTGTCGTTCGTGCAGGCGGTGATCGGGCCGTACGCCGACGAGCTCGGGAACGTGCTGCCGAACGCGGTGGAGGGCGTCGGCGTGCCGGTGGACCCGCTGGCGTTCGCGGGGCTGCTCGGGATCGTGGTGACGTCGCTGAACCTGCTGCCGTGCGGGAGGCTGGAGGGCGGGCGGATCGCGCAGGCGCTGTTCGGGCGCGGCGCGGCGGCGGTGCTGTCGTTCGCGACGTCGGTGGCGCTCGGCGCGGGCGCCATCATCGGCGGGAGCGTGCTGTGCCTGGCGTGGGGGCTGTTCGCGACGTTCGTCCGCGGCGGCGAGGAGATCCCGGCGCAGGACGAGATCACGCCGCTGGGGAGCGAGCGCTACGCGTGGGGGCTCGTGCTCGCCGTCGTCTGCCTCCTCACGCTCTTCCCCAACGGCGGCGGCACCTACTCCAGCGACTTCCTCGGCGCGCCATTCTTCCGCGGCGGCATCTAAGGCGCCCCTCGAGGCCTCGATCGATCTCTCCATCCATGGCGGCGCGAGTAGGCTTTAGTGGGCGAACAAGTAGCTAGAGGGCGATTACTCTGTTTATGCTTCGACGCGTATGTGTATATAACAACATAAATCATACGTATTACTAGTACTTACTAACCTCTACGAATTTTGCATTTGAAGATCTTATATTGTTCTTTTCGGCTACTTTACTGAATTATTATCGCTGATTATTTACACCACGCATTCAAAATTACATTTTATGAGCGAGTTTTAGTCTTAGATTTTACATGAGTGTTTGCGTTTGTGGTTAATTATTTCTTTCAATTATAGACGATGTACCTGTCGATAATAAGGCACCTGTATCTTTAGGAGGTGCTTATAAAAGTAGGGTAGACTTATACATGTTTACAGAGATGAGTGTACGTACGTTCTGAAAATACTTTGTGTAACTACTTGTTCTATATCTGGGTGAATACTTTGTTTCAAGCAGGCCCAAAGCATTTTTAAGTCTTGTGCAAGGCGAGCCTGGAGACTGAACAATATTGGGTCTAGTTCTGAACAATATTGAGCCTGGAGACTGAACTAATTGGGCTTTCAGGCTGAGAACGAACTCGATTTCATGGGCTTGCTGCACAATTTTGGGCTGATTGGGCTTTGAGGCTGAGTACGAGCTCGATTTAATGGCCTGCTCAGGATATTTCTCTTTGGCCCAAAACATTCATTGGGCCGCTACCATTGCTACCATCCGGCAGTGTCCTCTGTCCTCTCAAAGAAAAAGAGGAGCCTTGTGTGAGCAACCTGAGATGTTGGATTTCACAGTTTCAGAAGCTGCTGCCTGCTTGTACAATGAACTAGTACAGAATGTACACTTTGCAACTTGCAAGAAGTGCTTTTATTTGTGATCCTCTCTGCCAAAGAAATCTGTCCGGGCATGCATGCAAACTCCTCTTTCTGAAAGTACTTACTACTGTAGCTTAGGAGTGGTAATAATGTCGAGCAGATCTAGCTGTTGCCTGCACACCACATTGATCTCTTCGTTAACTTTACGTAACCCATATAGTAGTAGTATTAAAGCAGGGGAGGCACTTTGGTCTTGGTTAATTTTTGGTGTTTGTTGTACTGCCTAATCGGTACTACTGTTAACCTGGTTTGTTGTTCATTAAATAATTAATTTCCTCCGTAGGAATCGGTCTCTCCACTCTCCAGGATCCTAAGTAATCGTACATTTTCGTGCCCAACACCAAATCATTCTGAATTCCAAAATCCAAATTCAGAATTCAGAGATCAGAATAAATTAATCAACTTTTGCGCCAACATAAACCTTGGCTTTAATTTGTGCTGTTGTTCGCGCGCTAATAAAGCCGACCGGATGATTATGATTGTCCACGGGAATTAATTAACTAAACTAATCGATCTGATGCAAAATTAAAATGGCCGGCCGGTCTCCATCCTCTCGTCCATTGCATGGTGAGGTCTCCATCATGGGAGGCATTGATGCACGCGAGCTCTCGACGCGGCGATCGCGCGCACACTTGATTAGCGAGCGCACACCGGGCGATCGATCGATCGGGGGAGGCGACGATATGATCATTACGCGCCCTGTACGCGTGCCTTGCCGTATCATACAATTCACCGTATACATGCGGCCCTGTAATTAACTGGGCGTGCTTAATTAGGAGAGTGTGGTTTCAGTGGCTGGCTGATTCAGTTCATCGATTTGTAATCCAAGAGGAGCTTGGAGCCTTCGAGTTGGATGCTAATTCAGCTCAAACAGCTACCTGGCCGGCCCATTCTTTTATGATTATAGCCGGATTATCTCTTACGGTAATACTTCGTAAGTTGTAGAGAAATTTTGACGAAATGATGATCTTACAAAACCGAGAATGAATTGTGCTAAGAACTACTAATTGCAGAAGTAGACAGTTAACTCGGCGCTAATTAACCACAACGACGCTAAGGTATAAAGCTTTAGGGGATTCGGTTCACCTGCAGTCTAGGACCATCCGATGAAAATCCAACAGTTAGATCATCCAAGATATTATTCAGCCGAAAAAATTCTGCACTTTTTACCATAGCTTGGATACTGATAGCGTTAAATCTGAACCGATCAAAATCACGTGCAGTCCTTACGGAACCGTATTTGATCTCAATCTAGCTGATCGGTGCAATATATATTAGCGCTGGCGTTTCGGCCTAAGGTGACTAGAATTTACTAAATCATGGGAGGTCAGCGTCACTAGACTTAGCATTAAGCATGATTGGACAGAAGTGCACTAATAGAGCAGTATTAAGATGCGGATCTAATTTCCATGCAGTTTCTAGTGTGATTGTACTAACTTATTGAGAGATCACATTAGGCCTCGTTTGGTTTAGAGGGGATTGAAGAGAATTGGAGGGGATTAAGTAGGAATAATTTCACACCACAATAGATGTGGAATAAATCCCCTCTAAGAGATTAACCGAACAAGGCCTTAGGGTTTTAGATGCAAATCCAAGAGTCAAATTAGATGGGTAATTGTTCATCCATGGTGTTCACTATAGAACTATTGTAGCATTTGATCTGGGCCTTCAATTGAAAAATTGGATGCTTTTTTACTCAAGAGTCAGGATCCGGTATAGTTACTAGTCTAACTACAACTTAATTAAGCAGTTGTCCTAGCACCACCGTGATGAGAAAGCAGCCAGATCAATACACTATACACTGATATAATACCATTTAACTCTAGCGAAAAGTATTGTTTTGTACATCCCATAGCAGCGAACGTGAACCGTTAGATTAAAATATGGACGGCTCAAATTACTTTCTGAAATTGGAAAGAAATTTGGGAAAAGTTGGTAGTTTGAAAAAAAGTTGAGAGTTTATGTGTGTAGGAAAGTTTTGAAAGTGATGTGATGCGATGGAAAGTTAGGAGTTAGAAAGAAGTTTGGTGCAAACTAAATAGTGCCATAGTCTTCATTGTGCAGGTGCAGTACCAATTGCACCTTATCTCAATCCGAACAAAACCAATTGCCATCTTATTCGCACTCTCTATTGTGACAAGTTCCATTTATCTAATCAAGTCGAGCGACTAATCTAAACTCCTCTGTTCCGTGTGCATTCTGCTCTAAAAAGAAAGAGATTTTGTTAGAGGGACGGTACGCCTTGGGTACAGGAGAAACGATTAAACAACAAAACTTGTGAGCTCTACCCAGTACAAGCGTGATGTCACAAGGCCTAGTGCACTAGTAGCTCACTTGGTAACCGTGAAAACTAGACAATGACTAGTCGTTCCATTCCAGCTCTCAAATCTTCAGAAAAGTTGTGCTGTGGATTTGGCACGGAGTGATCGATTCTCAGTGTCACGTCAAAATACACCCATAATAAACCATTATTAAATCAATTGTAGTAGTTCTAACCATGATTCTTTCACTCTCATCGCTTTGCAAGAACATCAATGGAACAGGCGATCAGGAACAGCTAATGCTTCCAGTATTAAAAACAGTCAATCTGTACAGAACCGTAGTTAAGTATATACTTTGCTTAGATTACTGCAAGCATGTAAACAGCCAATCACACCGACACATAAGAGCAAGTTTAATAGTATAGCTCACTATTAGCTCCAAATCATCTATAGCCAATGCAATAGCCAATTTATACAATAATTGTTTACTATACTATTAATATATGGTCCCACATGTTATATACACATTGCGTCTTGAAGTTCGTGCTGCAGCTGGCTACAGATATGTAGCCCGCTGCTTTTCTCTCTCATCGTTTATCGTATTAAAATATGTTTACAGCTGGTTAATAGCCTGCTATTGTACCTGCTCTAATACAAGCCCCAGATTCTCTTATTGGGATGCAAATTAGGTGTCTAGGTGAGGGTAATATACTGTACTCCCAAGTCATCCCCAACTCATGACAGTGAGTCTCTCCCATCTGCTGCTACTGCCCTAGCTGATTAAACATTTTTCTGTAGAGCTGTGCTGATTTATTAGCTGATTAAACATTTTCCTGTAGAGCTGTGCTGATTTGTTGCTGCTGAAGTCATTCATCAATCTCCTTGTCAAATTCGGGGGCTCTAGTTGTATCCATAAAGAAAGCAGGGAAAAGAAAGATCTTGTGGAGATGGAGACACCTCAGCAAGCAAGCAAGCAGCAGGATGCCTTACAGTGTTTTCTTTGACCATATCCCCCATATCCAGCCAGTCCTTGCATTTCAGACTGTAGAGGACAAGAAGGTGAAAAGATTACAAGATTCCTTATGTTTTTCCTTCCTATCCCTCTCACCCCTGGCGTAGAACTAGAGAGAGAGAGAAGCTGAAGGTAGGCTGGCAAGGAGAGAAAAGACCAAGTGTAGAAATAGATAGCAGTATGTCAAGGGCTGTATAGATTTAGGGGTGTAAAGTTTTAGCGTGTCACATCGGGTATTATATAGGGTGTCGTATAGGGTGTTCGGACACTAATAAAAAAACTAATTACAGGATCCGTCCGTAAACTGCGAGATGAATTTATTAAGCCTAATTAATCCGTCATTAGTAAATATTTACTATAGCACCACATTGTCAAATCATTGAGCAATTAGGCTTAAAAGATCCGTCTCGTAAATTAGTCGCAATCTTTGTAATTAGTTATTTTTTTAGTCTATACTCCCTCCGTCCTAAAAAAGATAAACCCTGGTTTCCGTGCCCAATGTTTGACCGTCCGTCTTATTTAAAAAAAATTATGAAAAAAATTAAAAAGATAAGTCACGCATAAAATATTAATCATGTTTTATCATCTAACAAAAATAAAAATACGAATTATAAAAAAATTTCATATAAGACGGACAGTCAAAGTTGGACACGGAAATCCAGGGTTTGCCTTTTTTTGGGACGGAGGGAGTATTTAATACTTCATGTAGGTGTTTAAACGTTTGATGTGACATGATATAAAATTTTTGCGTGGGAACTAAAATTTTTCAGTTAGAAAGAGATCTCCCCTCCATTCAAAGCTTGCAGCTTGGTGTGGAAGAGAAGCACCTTCCCTCCCCCACCTTATAAACAAAGCCACCGTAGTTTAATCTAAAAGACTATTACATGGTCCTATCTAGAAAGTTTACAGCATCGGCAGCTTCTTCTAACAGCTCCTGTAAACAACCTAAATTCTCACATTAATTCTCACATAGTAGAATATAAGAATATGTAGTAATAGAACCTAGAAAATAAAATAGAATTTAGAAGTTGGAAAACTTTATGCTTTTCACATTCTCGTCAGCCACTTCTTAGTATCTTAGGCCCTATTTAGGGAGTTTGTGGCAGCTACAATTTCTCTAACTTCCCCAAACAATCCAGGTTTTCACCAAGTTTTAAGAATTAGTAACCACAGAATCCACTACAAGCCTAATAAAAAGCTAGGAAAATCAACTTTTTTTATCGGCTATTACTTGGAATCTCAAGCTCTCCAAAAGACCTTATGCTACTGCAAAGGGGTTAATATAATGCTGCTACAACAACAAATATCTCTACAATTGCAACCTCCCTCCCGCTCATATTGCACACACAACCATATCTTGTCGGCGAGAAAAGAAAAACAAACGACAGTCAAAGAGGAAACAAATAAAAACTAAGCTATTGGTTAAAAATAAAATATGCTAGATCCCATCCCAACTTATAGGCCTGCGCACTGCAACTTCATATGAATCCATTGTAATGCATGAGCATGTTACTAATAAAGGGTAAAATTGGACTGAAGATTATATCTAGTCTAGAATAAGAAACATAGTGCATATGGAAACAATTGCTGGGACATTAGAAGTTGAGCGCAAAAATGGTTGAGCTGTTGAGGAGCTATTTGTATCTGGCCGCAAAATGGTATACTAAACATTGTGTAAAATCTTCTTGACTGGAACATAGTAGAAGCATTGCTGTCTGATATAGTTTATGTGATCACCTAACCTACTACTATTGCTACTTGGTCAAAATTTCCCTCTTATTTCAAACTTTGCAGTTGTGCACTAGTGTTTCTACTGCTACAGAGCCAATATTATAAACAACACTGTGAAAGAAAATCACAGTAGGGCACCTCTTCATCAATACTTATCTACATTCTACTTCAGCCCAAGCTGGGGCCCACTGGACATTGAGGGTATGCAAAGGTTGGGCAGGTGAGAACTGTATGCTACTATTTTTTTTTCACTCCCTACTTTATTTTTCTCCTTGCTACAGCTATTCTTTTTGTACTAAAGTAGAGCAAGCAGTAAACTACTACTACTGGTACACTAGTCTGTTGTAACTTTTGATTAGGTGTTAGCTTACGCTAAGGTTTTGGAAATATTAGAGAGATGAGAGAGAGAGAGAGAGAGAGAGAGAGAGAGAGGAGGGGGGCAGTTGCAGTGGTTAACAACCCTTTGCCAGAGGGCAAGAAGGAATCATTTCACCTCAGTGGCAGGTAACAAACACCACATTAGCCTGCAGCTCTCTTCTTGCCCTTTTGCTCCCTCTTCTTGTCCATATAATCTTTCACCGCACCATTCATTCTCCCCTGCGGTCAAATTGCGGCCAAGAAGACAACTGAGCTGTGTCCAAATGCGCACTAGCACTAGGTAAGATGCTGCGGAGAAAGATTAAAAAAAGAGAGAATTTTGAAAGGGAGGAGATCATCAAGCTGCTGTTTTTTTTTTTTCCTTTTTTGCGTTCTTGAATTGTTTCAGTATACACATGTCTCCATTTGCAGGTGAAATTGGTGGTGGGCTCTTGCAGGGGTTCATGTGATCTCGCGGTCAGGTAATTTTCGAACAGTTATTGTCTTGAACATTTTTGCTTCTGTTCCTTTCAAGATCTTTATACCACGGTGGAGTAGTCAAAGGTTGTTGCTTTCCTTCCTTCTGCTCTCGGAAAGCTTCAACGCCCTAGTAATGTCTCACAGATCCTAGTCCAGCTATCTGTGCATTCAAATGGCCTCACGCCCTCGCCAAGTTCAGTCTGAACTAGTAGCTTGCCCACTCTGCTTCCTTTTATAAGCTTTGCTGATGCAGTACTAGTGTTCTTTCTTTAGCTTCACATTTGTGATTTTCCTAGGTAATGGTGAGATTTTATAGGGTGATCAAATCCTCTGTGAGGCCATGAGGGGGCGTTCATCTTTCTGTGTGCCCCTGAGTGTGATATCTTGATGATTTCATCATCCAAATAGGTTCTTTTAGTTCAATTTTGGGGCAGTTTTAGGTGCTCTTTTGAGCTTCTTGGGACTAGCTGCCTAGCCATATCCAAAAGGAGACGCACTTCTTGGTTGGTTCTTAACTTGTCTGGAAGCTCTACATCCAGTGAAACAAACACTCTTTTTCTTCAAGTTACAACGGTGGTAATGTGGTACGTGCCTATTTCTTGAAGATTTGGTAGGCTTTTGCTGTTTCCAATTAGCTTTGGTGATTTTGAGTCTTTTAGGAAGCGCAGAGGCTCTCCTCCAGTCTCATCACTTTGCTCCAAAAGAATAAGTTAGTGGGTGCTGTTTGCTTAATGATGGAGTTCATTTCTCCTGTGTCTCTCATCCCTTTGTGTGCTCTGGGGTTTAAAGTTTCACTTTCTGGACTGTGTGTTCTTCTTTGGTGGCAGATTTGGTTTGTTCCTTAAGGCTCTGAAGCATATCTCCAGCTGTTACAGCAGAACTTTTCCTGGATGGTGATCCTTCTTTTGGCCTTCTTTTTATCTTTAGATAGGGGATATGTAGTGGTTCTTGAAGGGACTGGTTTGCTTTTAAATTTCACCACTGTGTGAGGATTACTAGTTGAGCTGTTCATTTGAATGGAAGGGTTTTCCAGGCTTGATCAAAGTTTTCTATGTTTAGTTTCAAGGTGTTCTTTAGCTTTCTATGTTCTGTTGGGGCAATCTTGTTGCAGTTCTGAATTTCTCATATGTCTTCTCTATTTTGCACTGCTGAACAGGGAACAGGGAAAGATAGGTGTTTCCTGAACAGTTGGAGATGTATTCAGGCCAGCAATCTGATCAGTGTCCTGGTCCAAATAGTGGCAAAGAATTCTTGGAGGTGAACTGGGATTCTGTTGCACTGCATCAGAAGATGGGGTATAACAGTGGCGCATTTGGATTTCAAGCTTACCCCATGGTGTTAGAGGATAGAGAGGGACTCTATAGATCACCCAACGGTTAGTAGTTCTTAGCTTAGTATTATGCAGTTGATGAGGTATTAGTAGCTCTTAACTTAGTATTGTGCAGTTGTTGAGATGTTTTTGAAGGTAATGATTTTGTAGATAAATCCTAATAGTGACGATAATCTCTCACAGGCACATTCTGTCAAAATATCCAACTGAGTGATGATCATAGCAGTGGTGCAAAGAGAAGGAAAGGAATAGATGATCACATTGCCTTGTTGAACCCATCAGCAAGTAGCAGGATACAAGTATGCTTTCTTTCTGGGCTTTGTTATATAATCTGTGTGTGGAATTATATGTGGATGGTTTCTTCTCTTATGTCAATAGCTAAATGCATTATATTGTTGGTTTAGAATGTTGGTGATCAACAGACAGAGGTTTCATCTCAGCAAGAGAGGATATCAATGGAGGAGGACAACCAAAAGAGTTGCTCCAAAATGCAAAGCAAGGAAGATTCTTCTGATGGTGATGGTACTAAAGAAGATTATGTTCATGTCCGGGCAAAGCGAGGCCAAGCCACTAATAGCCACAGCCTTGCAGAAAGAGTAAGCTTCTGAGTAGTACTCTTGACTCTTGCTCCTGGTTCAGTTTTGCTTTGTGATCTTCCTTTACTTATTCTTGAGTTGATGGAACTCTTTTCAGCTGAGGAGAAAAAAGATAAGCGAGAGGATGAAGCTGCTTCAAGATCTTGTCCCAGGCTGCAGTAAGGTAAATTTCTTCTTTTATCTGCAAGAAAATCTTCGAGACTATCTTGTGCTGTGCAACTTACTGTTGTCCCCTCACAGATCACTGGTAAGGCAGTCATGCTTGATGAGATAATCAATTATGTACAGTCACTACAACGTCAAGTTGAGGTACTATTAGGGTGGTGGTTCAGTTATTTCTTGGACAGTTGGAATATCACTCTGTAATCTAACACAATCTGAACTTGCAGTTTTTGTCGATGAAACTCGCAACTGTCAACCCTGAGCTTAGCTTTGATATTGAGCAGATTCTATCGAAACAAGTAATGACAACTGCAGATCATTCTGATTTTTAAGAATTTGTTATAGATAAATTTTGTTCACAGAAATTATTATTTTCAGATGATGCTTTCACAAGATAGACATCTTGCTTTCTACGGAGTCGACCCAGGATCAAGTGCCCTCGTTGCTCATTTTAACCAAGGAATCATGCAGCCAGAAATGCTGTGTAATGTTTCCAATCCTGCAGATGTTTTGCAGGGGACAACAATTCAGGACATCTCCACAGTTAACCAGGTAACTTCAGGTCACATATTAAGATAACAAAATCACACATGAATAAACAAAATCATAGCAATGGGTTGATGTGAACCTTGAATCTAGATACCTGCCATGTGGGAAGGACTTCAGAACATTCCTCACTTGAACTACAACCCTGGTGGCGCAATGGCAGAGGGCAGCACCAACAATTCTGGTATATATGATCCAAAATTTGTCAAAAATTATGTTTAGTACTAGTGATATATCAAACTCATGGAAATGTTCCTCCTTTTTGCACACTTCAGGTTCCATGAAGATTGAAAAATGAGCAGCTGGTATAGCTTGCACGGTTGCTTGGTGAATCATAAAGCGCTCGCAGTATCAATTTTTGTATAGATGGAGGCCCCCTAACCATTCGTTGCCGTTGCCTGTTTCCATATCTTGGCTCCCCATAGTGTATGGTTTTCATGTGGCATCTGAAGATTTTGTACAGTTGGAGCTCAAAATAGCTGATTCCACTGTAAATCGCTACTGTATTTTAGATTGTGGAAATTGGGAAACCTTGTATTGTTCATGAGCTCCAAGATTGGGACCAAGTATTGATGGGCTTAAGCATGCAAACGAGTAGGATGGACTTTTGGTACAAATTTTCAAGGAATTGAATCTGTCGAAAGTTCATGATTTGCGCACTATTTGGAATGAGAACTTGCAGCTACCAATGAATGGGAATCTGCGGTTATGTGTGAAGACTGAAGATAGTGTGAATTAGCCTGAATATAAGTTTGAATATGTTTGATCATGTTCATCATGGGAATCTGCGGTTATGAGTGAATCGGCCTGAATATGGTTTGAATCTGTCTGAATAGGTTCATCCTCGTAGGAACTAGAGAACGACATTACCTTACATTTGATCGACCGTAAACAAGGGTTGACTTTCACTGAATTGATGGTCACAGGTTGACGTCAATATAGGATCTTGATTTCATTTCGGAAATGGAATAGAATAGTACTATCTCAAATAAGAGCAAGAAGTTGATGTTATCCATTCAAAAAAGTTGATGTTAAGATATTAATCATGCTTTGTCAACGGCTTTCCTCGTCTAGTCTCCTAATCGCCTTCGAATGATCATGCCAGTATGTTACCAAGTGGCAACTGACCTTCATTAATCTGCAGTCAACTGTATATGAACTCACCTATGGTCGTTATTTTGTTTTTCTTTTCCAATTTGAATATAATTATAGCCCTGAATAGAGTTCTATACAGCGGTTTTCTTCTTCTAGAGCTTCAGTGTTCTCTCTAGAGTTTACTTGAGCCGTCTTAACCTGAAAACATCACCTTTTTATGCAATTTTTTATACAACAAAAATCTTGAAACATAGTTTTCTGCTGATATTCCTCGAATAAATAGAGGAATGGCAATATGCACGTCCTCTAGAAGAACTGAAACTAAACAAACTCTCTACTCGTCTGTCTATATAATGGTGTGCATAGCATAGCACACGCAGCATTCAGTAAAGCTTGACATTGTTATCCCCCTATATCTGGAGATGCTACAAAGTTACAGGACGAGATACCAGAAACCTACAAAACTGTGCGCACTTGGCAGTGAACGCTTCACAAAAGATTAGCTTTCCACCTTCTTCCTCTTTCTTCTATCCTGTTCTCCGTCTCTTTCCTTCCTCCCTCGCCTCCGTGATTTCCCCTAGAAGCAAACAGGAGATCAGAATAACAAGAGTCAATAGCGTGGAAGCATCATGTTGCAGCCAGACGGAATAACTGATCAGTAATCACATATAATAGATTGATTGCAAATATCTCTAATCAACAAAAGCTCATTTGAACTTAGAAATATTTGATGCTTCATAGATCCAAAGTATAGTGGTTCAATTTGAGGCTGCTATGTTGTGCGTCTTTTTAAAATTGTCATGGAAAAGAGATGGAATTTATGTAAATATATCCAAAGTAAATCTAAAAAATTCATGCTACTTTTGTAAATATTTTATTACCACAAATAGTACGCTTTCAAGGAACAACGAACAGCACTTCCATTTGCATATTTCACTAAACCACTGCATTTAAGCACTGCCATGTTTCCATAGGACCTGAAGCCCAGACCCACACACCTGACATCACAAGATTATCCCATTTTTGTTTGTTTACATAGAGGATAATTACCATGACAGACAAATCGAAACACCAGCATGACTAGGTGGTAGAGTGACTGAATGGAAGAGTGATTATACACATTTCCGCCTCATACTGTATTCAAAGCGTTTCACCCTATCTCTTGCTAGTCATGATGAAATTTCAAAATAGCACAACAAAAAGAAACAGGCTTGTGGAATGATTTATTGGACCTGCCCCTTGGATGTGACGACAATGCTTAAAATAGTTATGTGAAGTCTCTAAAGCTGTGGCTTGAAATTAAGGTTTTGTGGTACTTTGGCCAAATGCAATGTGTTTTTGAAATTTTGCTCATTAATTTTCCAGAGTTGTCATACCACATTTCACCTCATATGTAGCTGGAAAAATGCATCCATTTGCAACTATATTTTTAAACACATTTGCAACTATATTAAGAAAAAAGATAGCTAAACAAACAATATCTTAAATCAGTTCAACCGTGACTTTTCGTAATTAACTGCACTCTCAAATTGTGACAGAATCTAGTATCCATGGCATCAATATCTCACCACCGATAAAGTAGAGCTAAAAGGTTCGTAACAGTTAAATAAAAGTATGATTATTCTATGACCTTGTAAGCTGCAAACTTGCAATATCTTTTCAACCTAATTTTTGCTTAGTTATTGAATGAATGGATGTACCTCAGCAGAGAAAGTCTTAAGGGGATCACTACTTCTGCCAGATCCTCCCTTGAATCCCATTCTTTTCCTCCTCCGTGGCTTATCGATATCCATAGCAGCCCTTGAAAGTTTGACTACATTGCTTGCTTCTTTTGTTGTGGGATCAATAAGGTACTCAGGGACATCACGTAGGTGTGCAGGGATTTCCTTGTTGCTCAATAACTTATCATGTTTGAGCAAATCTGGAAAGAAGAAATAGATTCAGTACACACATTAATTTAGGCAAGTTCAATAGTAGAAAAGTTCTCAACAAAATGAATCTAACCAAGGTCTCTCGGATTCTCATCAAAATGAGCCTTCAACCTAAGATGACAAGAGATAGCTTCACTATTAGAAGAAAAGCATGAGGCAGAAAATGACTAGTAAATGTATGAAAAGTAAATAAACAATTGATGTCTTGTGTGTTTCCTTCTATGTAAAAAAAGAAATGTTTGTTTTGATTTTTTTTTGGAAAAGATGACATGGCACCCATAGTGTAGAAGAAAGTTGCTAAGAAGCTCTAAACATTAAACAAGCAAGGCTATATTCATGTTCCCTTTTTTTTTTGCATGAGATTCAGTTATCCCCATGACATGTGCATTTGCTTAATGATCAACCACTTTCTTACTTCTCAGAGTTGAGGATTTCATTCTTTATGTCTTGGCGACGTGCTTCTTTTATATCACGGGTTGTCACACTCCTGGCAACATCCTGTAAATGTGTCAATTGGCATTAGCTACCAGATGTCTTGATGAAATGGGAGGCTCTTGCATGTTCTAACAAAAGAAAGAACAAAAAATAGCTACCAAGTAGTACGATTTATCAAGATTCATGAACAAATAAACTCAATAAACATATGAGTTGCAAAATGAACAGTAGCCAACATAATGTTGCACTCCAGGAGCAATAATATGGTTAAAACATGGCCAGATTACTATTAGCCCAACAGCTTAGGTCATGAAAACCCTCTTAAGCTAAAAGGCACATCATGCATTGTATTACAGAAAACAGATGACACCCTCACAAGGTATATGAGGGCCCAAGACTAAAAAAAAGTAGAAATATCTTTGGCTATATTTCATGTTAGATGGGAGTGACCCTGTACAACAAGAGTCTCACGACGATGCTAAGAGAGATTCGTGCACAACACCTAAATGTTTACTAACAGGATTAGGCCAAAAAGAGAGGAGAATTTGGTAAAAATAACCGAGAAAGCATAAAATGGGGCATTGTGACGCATGGAATTGGCGATAAATAGATAACAGTAGCCATATATGGAAAATAAAACCATTGCTGCCTACAGTTGGATAGAGGTGACATAGTACCAGATGAGCTTTCGTCCTTTTACTAGTCAGTGGTGACTATAGAATATATCTCGACCAATGCCTAGCCAGAGTTTCAGAAAGTGGACCAGTCTTTGGTTTCAAAAGTTTATGTTTTGACAACTAACAATATATCTACTAGCAAGAAACCGCTCTGAAAATAGGGAGTTCTGGCTGGAATACCAGTTTACCACTCATACTAGTACTACTAAACAAAGAGATTCTCCATGCCTAACTTCTCTTTTAATGCTAATGCTCAATTCTAACACCATATTGAATAGAGGCAAAAATACCAATTGAAAACATATTTTAATACAAAAGAATAGATTATCCATTGTAATATGCTCCATACCTGAGCTCTATAGCGTAAAGACTCAACGGCATTTTTTGTAAGTAATGGGAAAGGTGAAATGCAACTGGTGTCTCTATTTTCAACATCTTTCAACATATTTTCAATATCTTCAAAAATGCCATTCTCCTTTGGTGAAACCTGAAAAGGTCCAACACCAAACCAAAGGAATAAATAAATAACAGATAGGATCTATAAAACAAGTTAGCTATCTCTGCGATGATTTTTTTTTATTGAGCCACATAAAATGGTGAACTTACAAGCGATATGGATGCACCAGTTTTATTTGCTCTCCCTGTCCTTCCTACTCTGTGAACATACCCAGCAGGATCTGGAGGCATGTCATAATTAACTACCTAAAGAAAAGGCCAAATATAAAAGAATATCAATCCTGCAACCTGAATACCTGTTTCAGAAACAAAAGGTCGAATGGGAACTATAAAAATAACAAATAATTTACCATCAGGCTCAAGATAAAATACTATTTTAAAACAAAATGATAGCAAAGTATGTCAAACAGTTGTATGCTCAAGTTACCCTCTGGCCACAATGAGATCTGGTGGCATGCTTGCATATATCAATATATTAACTTACCGTGAATACATTTTTGAAGTCAATTCCTCTGACAACACCGAATTCAGCATCTAAAGTTTGCTGCAACTGCTTGCGTGACACCCTAGAATCCTTTTTGTTTCCCTTATTGGCTTGCCTCTCCTCTTTAGACTTATTGTCATCCGTTGCTATCAGATAATCAAATAGCCTAGCATTGAATGCCTAAAAGAAAGATAATAGTTTAAATCGGTAGGACAACGCAAGAAGATATTCTTTCAGACTTCTTTAGAACACTAGAGCCTAAACATTTCCTGGAGCCCACTCACTTTTTGTTCTGGAAATTCTTTGATGTGGACATGTTGGTAAGCTTAAAAACTAAATATAACTGAACCAGATTCAGTTTCCCTAAAGATTATGATAATCCAAAATAAGATGAAAAACTATGGAAACATAGGTAAGAGATTTACTTGTTCAACAAACATTTGAAAGAGAAAGATATATTCAGTGGGAATTATCATCAATTATGTAATAATAAAGCACAATAGCAGCAATAAGAGCGTGCACTGTGGATATGCTACCTGAATGATATGGAGGCGTGAATTTTGTGGTAATTCAGCATTTAGCACTGAAGATCTTATCCCAAACTGTAAAAGTACAACATAGACACCATAAGGATAAATTATTCATCAATAAGCATATTTATTTTTAAAAAATGATGCAAGAACCAAGGAAGAAAATTGTTGGACAAAGAATTCTGCCAGAAAAAAGCAACACAAAGAAATAATGTAACAAATATCATAGCGAGGAGCCATAACATGCCCAATATGACAATCAAAGACAAGGCACTGGCCTGTTTAACTTCAGTCCACGGTACTTTATACACTCTTACTCCAGTACATGCAATTAAGATTAAACAAAGTAACGTTCCAAATTCAGTATTTTGTGAAAGTTTTCAAGTGTCCAATAATCTAGCACTTAGATTCATTCTACAGACTCAACAGAAACATATCCTGACATGCTGCCCCATAACTATCTGTTTACCATGGAGTCTTCAAAAACTCGACACTCTTGTACCAAGTATTCTAGACTAGCACAACATTTTCACTTTGATTTATGTTCAGACAGCAATCAGACAATGGCCTAAAATTAAGGTTTGGACTGCACTTAACATACTGAAATAAAACAATGGAAAAAAATTACAGACAACAAATTAAGAAACCAAATCATCAAACGTGTTTAATTATTGACTACTGTAAGGTAGTGGTTCCATTTTACCTTCTCCAGAAACAGCCTTAATTTGAATGCCGAGTCAATTGAGTTTACAAATATGAGAACTTTCTTCTGAATAAGCTCCAACTTCAGGAGTACAAGGATATAAAGCATCTTATCCTTAGCATCACATGATATCTGTGGACAAAATTGAATAGGAGTACATGATATACAAGCTACTACAGGAAAGCTTAGGGGGAAATCAGCAGGGCAAAAATAATCACCACTAAAGAATTGTACCAGAAAAAATACTAGAAAGGAACATGAAACCATAGGTTGTTTAAATGTTTGTTGGGAATCTATGGATATCCAAGAGGGATCTTAATATGTTTCAGTGATACGACTGAAAGGCTGATTGTCTGAAATGCAGGAAAAAGTACTTGCCCAAAACTGCTGCACATTTTTTGGGATCAAATCATCCTTCGCATGACCAACCTCCGTAAGGGTCAGAATAAAAGGGTTGTGCAGAAGTAGCTTAGTCAGTTTCTCAATATCAGCGCTGTAAAAAGAAGTCAACGTTACTATCAGACCAAATATATGAAATCTAAATGGAAGCAAGGGCAAGGAGGGACAATCAAACTACAACAGTGTTCTACCAACTCAAGGGCAGCAATATTGGGGATTCAACCTCCAGGTTGACTGCTAGCAAAATCTCATCAACAGATGCAATGACAGACATGCTGGAATAGTATGGTAAAAATTCAAAACAGAAAAATCCCAATTTTTGGTTATTTAAATTACAGGTTCCATCCATTTGATTGAAATGTTGATGCTCAGAACAACCAAATCGTGTAACTGCAAAATCAAAACAATTGAACAATTGAAGAAAAGGAAGGAAGATGGAACCAAATTTCACCTTGACGTTGCAGACATCAGGATGGACTGGCAGCTTCTTGGGATATGTGGAACGAGAGCTTTTATGTCATCTTCACAACGATAGGATAGGAGGAGGTCAGCCTGAGAACTAACCATTAATGGATTAGTACCTCCTTCAAAAGAAACTTAGTATAATATTACACAGAAAAGGTGTCAAATTTGAATATACAACAGTCTAAGAGAGTAAGACAGCATATTAGTTGTCAAAATGTTCTTGAAATTTTCAACACCATAGCAAATTTCACACTGTTGCAGCGGCACATGTCAATGTCAGCATTATGTGATCATACAAAATAAACTCCATACTCACTTAAAATAATCACAAAAGTATTTTGTTTAACTTGAGGAAGGGCACGACAGCCAAAATGTAGAAACATACACAGTTTAAACAGCCATATTTTTTATGTATAAAGAAAATTATCATCCCTTGTGGAAATAAAATCTTATCAAATTACCCATTGATGATATGTATCAAACTAAAATAAATCATGAAAAGGCAAATAAACTGCACCTCGTCTAGAATCATCATTGATAGTGATTCTTTGATAGATGATCCACGGATAATGCCCTTTGATATGCATGATGCAACACAAGCAGGAGTTGTAACAAGTATATTAGGGGGGCCAGACAATGCAACTTTCTGCAAACAACAGTAAGAAACAAGTTAGTTTGCCAGCATTCATACGAAAAACATGAATATTATTTACAGAAAATAACAACAGAATAAGATAGACTTCTCACAATATCTTTGTCTGACATGCTCGCATTCACTTGCACAACCTTCAATTTGGATGTACAGAATTCAAGGAGAGATGATGCCTCATTATGAACCTACCACAAGCAATTCAAATAAACAATCACATAGATGTTATGGATTATGACCATATAATGCAGTACATTAAAAAATAAACCAAAGGACTAGTATGAGGGTCTGCCATTAAATTAAAAGATATACTCATATGTCCATTCTTATGTAGCCTATGAATTCAGAATTAATCCTCAACTTGACATAGATCATTGAACTACTCATACGTCATAGCTAATAATAAATATTAAACTGCCCACAAAAATCATCTCATCTCATAACAAGTAGATGAGTGATACCTGCTGGCATAACTCGCGAGTTGGCACAAGGATGAAAACATTTGGAGCAGATTTTCGGATACGCCCTTCTGCAGACAACTTCAATAGCTCATGCAGCATAGGGAGAAGGTAAGCAAAGGTCTTTCCGGAGCCAGTCTTGGCCTTAGCGACCACATCCTTCCCTTCCTGAAATCACAGTATTACACTATTCGTCAGTTGCACAAATTATTGAAAACCTGAATGTCTGCTGGAATTGCTAAAAAAACGTCGCAAGTTTTTTGGGAAAAAAACATGCAAATGTAACTATATCAGAATTATATTACAATTATACTATAATTAGATTTGAAAGTTTTTTTTCTAAATAACTTAAACTTAGCATGTCTGCCCCTGACAAACAGTAGAAATATAGCAAAACTAATCGAAAAGGTTCACCAGACAAAGCAGACAACCCAAATATGCAAACGGCACAACAATTTGCACAATGGCATCACATTATCCATGCTTAATCTTCTCACAACGGAGAGAGGGCTTAAATCACAAATGCAGTAATCAATCATTGAAACACTAATAATTGGATATTAACGACGAATATTTCCAGTAATTCAACAAAACAAAGCAAAAAAAAAACAAAGCATGGATGCCAGAAATCACGCACCAGGATGAGCGGGATGGCCTCTCTCTGGATCGGGGTGGCCTTGTCCAAGCCCTTCTTCCTCAAAGCCCTCTTCAGTTGCTCGTCCAAGCCAAGCTCGTCAAAGCTCACCTCCCTCTCCTCCTCTTCCTTGCCCTCCTCACCTCCCCTGGCTGCAGCGTCCGGGCCCTCCTCCCCCTCCGCGCCGCCCTCGCCTCCTCCTTCGCGCTCGACACCCTCCTCAGCGGCCGCAGCCTCTTCGGCGGCGTGCGCCGTGTGCCCGTCATTCTCGGGCCCCGCCTCCGCGGCGACAGTGGCCTCGTCGTGGTTCTCTACCTCCTGCTCCGTCGCCGCCTTGCGTTGCTTGCGCTTCGCCATGGAGGAGGCGGCGGCGGCGGCGGCCATAGAGCTAGGGTTTAAGCCGGAAGCGCAGCCGCGGGAGAATGGGCAGCTCGGCTCGGTTAATAGCGGCAAAGTTTCCAGCGGATGCTATCTACGCCGTCCGATAGAAATCAACGTACAGGATTACACCCCCAAGAAAAAGAAATAGTAGAACGGTTCATACCTACACCAAGAATTTTGAATTAAGATTAGCTACATAAAATTTTTATAGTAAATTTTTCCCTAAAATTTACCAGATGTAAACAAAATAATCATAGTGTAATTATACTGTAAATTATATGTAACTATAATATAATTTGTATATCCAAGGATAACATGCTATTTTCCTAAAGTGAAGGCTGCGAGACCAAATCTCCTCACCTTGTGTACTATGATATTTTTCACAACTTTGCATGGATCTTGAAATAAATCTGATGGTTTAAAATTAGGTAAAAGTTTCTTACCAATTATTATTGTTTAAAATTACAATTACACTGTTTTTGATTTGTTAAGTTTGAAGAGAAAATTTATCAACATACACTCTCTCCGTCCCAAAAATATTAAGAGATTTCGATTAAATGGAACACATCTTTTTTTTCCTCATCCAAACAAAATCGCTTATCTCTGTTACTTTAGTCCTATTAGAAAAACCCTTCTACTACCATCCAACCAAAATCGCTTAGTATATAGTAAAATCGTTTTGAATTAGTTACAAAATTTGGATGAAATCTTTAATATGTTAAACCCCTAAAGCTATCGTTTTTCTCCTTTTTTTTGGAATTTTTTTGGCTCCTCTGTAGTTGTCCCATATAGTTTGCAGGTGCAGAAGCTCCTCAATTGGGTGACATGATTTTTTTTTCGCTGTTTCCTCCACCGGTTGTGCCGGTCTCGTCCTGTATGTACGCCACGCACAACCTTTCTCGTAGTAAATGCCGCGTGGTGGTGTTTATGCAAAAAAAAAGTCCTCGTGTTTGGACGGAATAGCGCGCACGTCCTCCCACCGACTAACATCATGTTCCGTTTTATAGAAAACACCCCTAATTTTTACAGAAATGCGACACGAAGAAGAGAACATTCTGCTCTTAGGGGTAGTGTTGTAAATATGAAAAACACAAGGGCTTTTCCGAAAAACAACCGAATCTATCCCCTCCCCTCCTACCCCCAACCCTATCCATCTGCTTCCTTCCCTGCCCGTCCCATCTCTACCCCAGCCTTTTTTTATGTTCCGTAGGTGGTGGACAATAGCGGAAATGGGGAGCTTTTTATAGGCCGAGCCGTCGCGACGGCGGTGAGGAAGCTTCAGACTTCACGGAGGTTGTGGGGGCTCGAATCCATGCTGTTTTCCGCGGGACGAGTGGGGGAAGAGGTGGAGCACGTGGCAATGAGGGAGGTAGCGAGGGCACGCGGGTTTGGCAGCGACGTGGGCATTGTGGCCGGCTCGGGAGGGAGAGCAACTAGATGTTGGGGAATGAGTGACAGGTGGATCCTGGCCATACCTGTCAGCATGAGGCAGGCCACGGCCTGAAACGGAGGCATGCCGGATGGGCCGCACGAGTAGAGATGGCAATGGGGACTCGATCACCGATTCCCCATGGTGAAATCACACATTAAGGCATTGTTCGGTTTGGAGGGGATTGAAAATGATTGGAAGGGATTGAGGGGAAATAATTCCACACCACAATAGGTGTGGAATAAATCCCCTCCAATCCCTCCCTCAAGGGGATTAACCGAACAAGGCCTAAGGAATGGGGATGGATGGTACCTGCCATTCACGGGGAATCTAATGGTGCAAAACTCATCACCATCGGGGATGGTGGGGCAGGCATGGTGCTCCACTCCCCGTCTTCCGCGGTGACCTGCGTGTCCTGTAGCTAGGGACCTATTCTAGACCCATCTCCGCTGCCACCCCACCGTTTCTCTCCCTTGTTGGCTACTGGCTATGGCTTTGACCTCTCCCATAAGCTTCGATCACCACGGGGATGGGGACACGGATGTGACCCCCGATGGTGAATTCTCTGTTGCCATCTCTACGCACGAGGATAAGAAGGGAAGGAGTAGGCCAGAAACATCCAACGGAAAAGGAGATGATTTCTATTGGTTTTTTCTTTTCTAGATACGGATGAGTAACCAACAGATGCTTGTTCTTTGTAATGGGTGAAAATAACTTTTATTATATACACATGCACTTTGTATAATTGTGCGAATAAATAAACATTATAATATGATAGTTTCTCAAGGACTCCCTCTGTCCCGAAAAAACGAATCTAGAACGGGATTTGACATATTCTAGTATAATAAATCTGGACAAATGTATGTCCAGATTCATAGTACTAGAATGTGTCACATCCGGTATTAGGTTGGTTTTTTATGGGACGGAGGGAGTACAAGCGTGCCAACGGTTAAGCAGTACTAGGGACGTGTTTAGTTCTTTGGCCAATTTTTTTTTTAAGCATACGAAGACACATTTAAAGTATTAAACGTAGACTAATAACAAAATAAATTACAGATTCCGCCTGTAAACTGCCAGACGAATCTATTAAGTCTAATTAATATATCATTAGCAAATATTTACTATAGCACCACATTGTCAAATCACGGCGTAATTAGACTCAAAAGATTCGTCTCGCAATTTACATGCAAATTGTGCAATTGTTTTTTTCATCCACATTTAATGCTCCATGCATGTGTCCAAATATTTGATGTGACAGCATTTTTGGAAGTTTGAAGGGAACTAAACACGGCCTAGGAGTGTGTTCGCTGCTCCCAGTTCCCAACTGGAACAATTCTTACGGAAAACAGAGCGGTCCATTAACACATGATTAATTAAGTATTAGGTATTTTTTTTCAAAAAGGATCAATATAATTTTTTAAGCAACTATCATATAAAAACCTTTTATAAAAGATATACTATTTAGCAATTTGAAAAACGTGTGTGCAGAAAACGAGGGAGTGGGGTTGGGAATTTCTCTTGCAAAACAGCCCTAGTATACAATATGGAGTACGTCTCAGATTCTCAGCCACCTAACGGTAACATCTTAATCCAACGGCTACTTTTCTGCGTGTGATCCCAACCCCGCCGCCCGTGACGCCTTCCTCACGCTCGCCTCCTCCGTCCCTTGGCGCATCCCCCGATCCGCGCCTCTCTCTCTCCTCCACGCCCTAATCCTCTCTCCTTCTCACACGCCGCCGCCGATCTCCTTCGACAAAGCGCCGCCAGTGCTGCCTCCACCGCGGCCGAGCCGTAGCCACGCTGCCGTCCCTCCGCCTCGCCGATCTCCCGCCCCCGCGCACCTCACAACCACCTCCATCCCGTGGTCGCCGACTCTCCGCCACCTTCTTCGCGCCGGCCTCCCTCCGCCACCCACCTCACAGCTACGTCCACTCCGCGGCGGCGGCCTCCATCGCCGACTCCCCTTTCTCCGCGCGCAGCGGCAGTCTGCAATCGACGAGGCGTCTGGCTTCTGGATCCGTTTGCCTCCGTCGGTGACGTGGCGTGTCGCCTCTCCACGGTGGTCCTCTTTGCGCCAGATCGCACGACGCCGCACTGATCCCATTCCCCTCTTCATATGCCCTGTTGTGAAGGTAAGACCTGTTTATCGTCATTTCAAGTTGGTGACATGTGATGCATGCGTCCAAGTTGAGAATATGCAACAGAAATTGCTAACATGTATAATCTATGATAAAGAGAAGCTTTCTGATAAGACTGGTTGAATTGCCTAGCGGTTTGGATCCCATGTGACAGTAGATCATTAGCTCTTGTTGCTATTGTTCAAGTACATAAAGGCTAACTGAAATGGCCAACATGGATAATTTCATTTGGTTGGCTCGGTGTACAGCTTGCCAAATGCAGTGATCGGTTCAGTATAGTGTCTAACATCAGTTTTCTTACTCTGTTATAAAACCTTAAATGGAATTTTAGTGAAGAATGCCAGGTCCCATAACCAACACTACCATCTTTCAGCTAATCTTTCAGCAAGACTAGTTCCAGGACACAACGGGTTCAGCTGAATAGTCATATATGTTTACCCATGATAATATACACATCGGCTCTTTTTTGCATTTGCTTTCAGGGCAAATTATGATTTTTTTCCTTTTCTGCCATAAAATTCACTTTCAGGGACTGCTGCGAAGCTTATCATCCTCACTGTGGGAGAGAGAGAAATTGAGGAATTTTATGGACATATTCATTTGTGGCCAGCACAAATTGAGGAACCATGCTTAGTGCTATTCATTATTTTGCTTGCTCATGATTTTTCATTGAAGTATGCATCTGTTTTTCATTACTATCATAAGGTCATTATCATTACAGCTGTTATATTACATGCCGACTGTACCATGTAATGAATAGTGCTCCCGTAGACCCTCTGTCCTGTAAGATGTACACTCCCCTGAATTTGTTAGCTGTAGCATGTGACAATCCAATTATTGTGGACTGTGTAAAGAAGAAGCATTACAAGTTTTTACTAAATAATTACTTTAGGAAAAAAAGAGCAACTTTTTCTGTGTTGTTTCAGTGTACTATTGTGAACTGTGGTTTCTAGGAGCTAACTGGGAGGCTTCTGATTTTTAATTGTTTAGGTTTGGATATCATGAAAGGTCCCATATTGGAGATCACTTGTATATAGCATACAGTAAACTTACCAAATGAACTGAGGTATTTAAGCTGCTCCTTTGCAGTTTATTTTTATACGGGTGTGCAATCTGTGACTTTAACCACCAGGCAATGCTTGCTCATAGCAAAGAAGTTAAAATTTACTAAATAAGGCTACAAATCTGATCAGGACTATCAGAATGTTGAGTTAATTCATTCTTAGTACTTTCAATTAACCATGTATTATTTATCAATATTTAAAGATCGTATAAAACTTCTCCTGTTCTTGCCATTTTTCAGTATCTTTATCAATATTGTGTTTTTCTATGCGTGATATAAAATTTGAAGTATCCTGTACATTTATCCCCTCACCAGTGCTAGGAAATTTTGGGTTCTACATTCTTTAGTTTCATACTAAACTATATATGCATATCAGCTATCACTCTTTGTTTCTTATGTCTTGGACAATAAATAAGCTCAGGGCCTTATCATTTGTATGGCAATTTTTTTGTGGTATGGCAGGTTGATATGAGAAGCTCATAAGAAAGGCACAAGCTTTGTCCTCATTAAGGTGCGTTTATATGATAAATATTGTTCCCGTTGCTGGATCACTAAATTTCAACAAACCATGTTTATTTTGGTCATAGATTCAGAAAAGAAAATGAGTTTGAATGAATATTGTGTACTTAAATTGCTCCTAAGTTGGTTCAACCTTCTCAAAAAAGATGTGAGGCAATGACTCCAGTTTTTTAGTTCTGTATACAGTATGTATTTGTCACCCTAGGAATTATTTGAGGGGCAATATTTTTATGAATCTTAAAGATTGAATTTCAATCCATCTGCCCTGGCTTGAAGGTAAACATGATTTTATTTTAAGATTGCATTTTAGTTTACACTAGATGTACACTGTACTACTGTAGCTAGGTCTGTTGTTTTCATTTGTGAAACTCAATTGGTGTAACTGCTGTAATTTAACTGCAGATCTCAAAACCATGTATACCACAATTGGTGCTATTAAGTACTTCTGCATCAATATTGATTATTGTTTGTTTTTTATACAATACAACTCTGTTAATTAGTGTGGAATCACTTCACCCATATCCTTTTGGGATTTATTGGGATCAATTGTTTCCAGAGTGTGCAAGGGCTATGTATGGTGCTTCAGGGTGCTGGTATATTGCACACCCCATGATAATTTGCCTATACTTCCATGAACATCGGAAGTGTGTCATGTTGGTGATAGTTTGAGGGTGCTATATGCTTTTCTTTTCTTTTCTTTTTCTTTTTTTAGAAATCATTTGAGAACTGCTTTTACCACAATATATATGATGTACTTTCATTAACAATGTAAAGATATTATTCATCAAATATAAAGATATTGATGTGGTCCTACTCAATGAATTTCTGATGTTTCTCTAACTCTTTTTTTGTATGGAAATAATAATGATGCTTGGTTTCTTCTCCGTTGCAATGATTTATTTCTTGCCAACATAGATTCTATGTGCATTATTGTAAACTGGTGCTTATTTTTCATTTTCAACATCAATGAAAATTTACATGAAGTTTGATTTCTCTCTAAAATAGAAATGGACTGTCATGTGTGCATATCGAGTCCGCACTGTAGAATGTTAGACTTAATCAAGGTTTTGTACCTCTATCTGTGAGATTGGCCTTATGCTCTGGAGATAATTTGTTTCCTGTGTTTCAACAGTAATTCACTAGGTTTATCCCTTGATGAACACAAGTTCTATGTATTATGAATATCAGGAGGGGAAATTTTGGACCAGACATTTGAAGTTGATTGCTCCTTTGAAGAATCATGCTACAAAGCTTGGCAATCAGGGGTTCCAGAAGACGCACTCCAAATGGTCTTCTTTTACTTGTTTTAAGATCACTTATGAACTTAGTTTAATACTCACTTTCAAATTTATGTGAGGCCTTGTCAATATGTATATCGAAAGTCTGAACACGCTAGAGAATATAATCGTCGATGCATTCTTTTCTTATATGTTTGTTTTTAGGCTACAATGGAAGTATTGACTGTCATATACTTGTTGAATTAATTGATATTTACAATTTCTGTTGGCCATATACTTACAGAGTGCTAGGCTATCTTTACAATTTCTGTTGGCCATATACTTATAGAGTGCTAGGCTATGGCAGCGGCATGGCAAATACCTGGCTGCAACTTCACTGGCTTTTTTTTATCGGCAAATGCATTTCTGATTTTTCCAGGTCGTAATTTGTTCCAGACATAAAATTAAATTGTGCTCCCAATGTTTTCTGTCCTCATTATTGCTTTCAAAACAAAAATGAGGCCAATTGTAGAAAATGCATTGTGGTAAAGGTTGTGGCTAGGAAAAATGGCTGCTGGGCTAATTGTACTGAGTTACCTATTAATGTTAGTTGGATGCACCAATTAGTACTGTTTTTTTAATCAAAAAGTATTGTTTTTAATTTATGTATAGTAGTAGCTCTGATCATGTTTTTTTATCCATCATGATCAATGAAGATTTTCATTTATTGAGGTTAGCCTTTTAGATTTATACCGATTTTTCATGATTACATATCATTGGCCATGTTTGGTGTTGAAAATTCACCAGTTTCATAGTTTTGCAGGAAAATCTGTAGGAAGCTGGAAACAACAGTGCAAGCCTGGTTTTCTGTCGATTGTTGCTCTATGTGGTAAGCAACGTTCATGGTGTTTTTATAGGTCATGATGTAATTTATGAATGATTAGTACTTTCTCTGCTACATATTTTGTCAAAATATATGTCATTAGATTGGTGTCCAGCGAAATAAGGTTGTGTGATCAGTGTAGATAAATTTGAAGTGTCGAATCTTTTCTGAAGTGAACAGTCCATGTTGCAGCCTTCAGTGATCCAAACTTCTGAATCAGTGAGTTTCAGCTCTCTTTTACTTCTGAGCATGATGAAGGGCTTTAACTATATCATCCTCTTATTATTCAGATATAGTAATACGATATGTCTAACCCTATCTTCCTCTTTGTATGAAGGGCATGCAGTACATTCGTGTGTTCTTGAAAAAGTGTGTAAAACATATGCATTCTAAATTTTCTGGGGAAAGCTCCATAGATTTGATTCTGGTCAGTTTGTAAACAGCGGTAGATCTCTGGTTTAGAACTGGAACTATTTCCTAATCACCAATAATGCTGAACACCCTGCATCAAAGTTTTTATTTTATAAGGCTCAACTACTTTTTCTGTTTTATGGGAAGACAACTGGTGAGTAATTTTGCACTGAACATCTGCGCTCTACTAACCTAGTTAATTTTTTGTAAAATTACTTCCACCTTGCTGCAAAAGTGGAGGTGAAGGCTATTAGAACTGTGTGGCCTGCCACTAGAAGGTATTATAAGGTTTCCTCTCTTCATATTAATTATCTGAATGACAATTTTTACTTCATAGATCACGACAAATGGTATGAGATTAGGAGCAGAAGCTGACTCTGTTGTTCCAGCAGCCCCCTGGTTCGTGACAGGATGCTTAACAATTGAATGTATTATACTAAATCATGTAATTTTTAATGTTTTACAACAACCTCTCCAACACCTTAAAAGATGTTGGTTAGAAATCAGACGATCTTCAAAGTCAACCTTCCTAAAGTAACTTGGGAGATTAGGGATGGGAGAGCTATTAGCATCTTATTCTATTGAATCAATGTTCCTATTTTTGTACTGAGTTATCTATTAATGTGAGTTGGATGCACCAATTAGTAGTGTTTTTTTATAAAAAAAATATTGTTTTTAATTTATGTATAGTAGTAGCTCTGGTCATGTTTTTTATTCATCATGATCAATGAAGATTTCCATTTATTGAGGTTAGCCTTTTACGACCCCATTGTTTGGCTTATTTGAGGAATAAGCCAAATGGCTTATTTGCAAACGAAAAATAATTTGTGAATAAAATTTTATGTACGTGTTCTTAACGATCTAAAAGCAAAGGCTAAAAAATAAACTACGGTGAAAAAAAACCCAAAATCAACTCCAAATTTAAGGTTGAAAATTTAAATTCTGGCTAATAAGCATAAGCGAAAAGATGAGGCCGTTAGATTTATACCGATTTTTCATGATTAAATATCATTGGCCATGTTTGGTGTTGAAATTCACCAGTTTTATAGTTTTGCAGGAAAATCTATAGGAAGCTGGAAACAACAGTGCAAGCTTGGCTTTCTGTCGATTGTTGCTCTACGTGGTAAGCAACGTTCATGGTGTAATTTATGAATGATTAGTACTTTCTCTGCTACATATTTTGTCAAAATATATGTCATTAGATTGGTGTCTGGTGAATCTATTAGGTTGTGTGATCAGTGTAGATAAATTTGAAGTGTCGACTCTTTTCTGAAGTGAACAGTCCATGTTGCAGCCTTCAGTGATCCAAACTTCTGAATCTGTGAGTTTCAGCTCTCTTTTACTTCTGAGCATGATGAAGGGTAGTTTGGATGCTTAACAAGTGATTGTCTTGTACCAAATCATGTAATTTTTATGTCTTTGGTTTTCAACCACCTCTCCAACATCTTAAAAAATGTTGGTTAGAAATCAGATGATCTTCAAAATCAACCTTTCTAAAGTAACTTGGGAGTTTAGAAAAAGAGTAAAGTGCACAGGCGGTCCTTAAACTTGTAGAGGTGTGTCATCTAAGTCCCTAAACTCTCAAAATGTAGATCCAACTCCCAGAACTTGTCAAAGTGTGCCATATAGGTCCCAAATCGCAACAACTCCTCCAAAATCCTACGTGGCGCTGATGTGGCGTGCCACACGAACGTGACGTGGCATTTAAAAATTTTCCTTTTCCTTTTTTTTCTTTTCTTCTTCTCTTTTTTTTTCTTTTATTCTCTTCTCTTTTCTCTGTGACCTGAGCAACCCGTGTAGCGGTGGCCTATAGCTGCAGTGAGAGCAAGAAAAGGAGAAGAAAGGAAAAAAAAGAGAATAAAAAAGGGAAATGAAAATTTTTTAAGTGGGTCTCATTTGTCATTCAATATTATGCCATGTCATGTCTGTGTGTCATTGCCACATCAGTGCCATGTAAGATCCTGGAGGAGCTGTGACGATTTGGGACCTACATGACACACTTTGACAAGTTCTAGGACCTGGATTTGTATTTTGAGGACCTAGATAACACATCCCTACAAGTTTAAGGACCGGCCGTGTATTTTACTCTTTTAAAAACAATTGAATCAATGTTCCTATCTTTGGAGGCTAGAAAAGGAGAAAACATGATTATTGACCCTGTAAACTATGGTCTCCCACTACTGTTGTATGTGGTTGATTTTATTTTTCAAAGAATCCTTACGCTTTGATTGCTCAAGTGAAACTGATCATGCAATGGGTTTTAAATCAATATACTTTGAGCAACAAGTATAATTAGTTGTTTGATTCTCAACATGATTCTATTTTTCTGTCTATCACCATTGTTTTATGAAATATCACCGTAGCGTTAGCACGTTCATATTACTAGTATAGTAAGTCAATTAGTAATTAGTAGGCATATACTCTCTGTTTCATATTATAAGTTGTTTTGACTAATCAAACTTTATTTAATCAAGTTAGCATAGCATTTTAAATACAAAACAAATATGTTATCAAAAAACTTGGTTAAGTTTGGCTACGGAAAAAGTCAAAACGAATTAACAAAATATACCCAGATCATTCCTAACCGTTGGATCCTCTCATCTAACGACCTACATTGTGAGTTGGATTAGCAGATGGATTAGTAGTAGGATTAGTGAAACCAATGGACAACCTCCTTGCTTTGAGCACCCCACGCCTCCACTTCGTCGCCGCCTTGAACCACCCCTCTTCCTTCCCATGTGGCTCATCGCCACTGCCATCCCTCATCCAATGCCGTCGCCGGCTCACCAACAGGCCTGCCACCGTGCGCCTTAGCCCAGCACCGTCACCTTGTCCCATGTCGCCACCTCCCCTCAACACAGTGCGCTGTGGCCGCTACACATCAACTCCGCTCGACATCGCCGCCTGCCCACCGCTGTCGGTGCTGTCGATCTGTCGTCGTCCTCGACTCCGCATCTTCGCCATAAGGAACGCAGTGAGCATGGGTTGAGGGCCGAGTGTGACCCTAGGGCGAGCAAAGCGGGACTAGGTAGCAGGCCGCAACGTCGTCACCATAAGAGGAGGAAGAGATGAAATCTTATAAAATGATCCATTGTCTTCCGTTTATCCCCATCCATGTATCACTACAGATGCAAAGGATGGGGATAGCGATGGTTTCTTGTGGACAAAGGGGAGAGATGGTAGCGGCAATAGTGGCGGTTTCCTGCGGACAAAGGGGGAGAGATGGTAGCAACAACGGTTGGCAGCACGAGCTTGAGTCGCCTGACAGTTGTTGTAAGTAACTGATTTACCAAGGCTTTGAAATTTTTTCAGGTCTTCACATCCCTTGCCAACTCCTATGCGGTTGCTCCTACCGTCTGCTAAAAAAAATGAGTTCAATGCTCTTGCTTTGCTTGGTAGGGACGATTTGCTGTTCCGCTGCAGCACCAAAAACCACTAATGCGTTCCTCCTCTTCCTTGTTCTCTTTGTATCCTTGTTGTTGTTGTTGCTGCTGCTATTATGTTACTGCCTCCGCATTGCTCTTTTTGATTTGTTGTTGATTTGCTTCTGCTCTGTGCTGACCTCATGATGTATGTGATGCCGTGTACTGCTGCCATGGCTAGAGAATAGAAGGATACAAAGAGAACAAGGAAGAGGAGGAACGCATTAGAGGTTTTTGGTGCTCAAGAACTGCTCGATGAAATGTTTCTTGAGGTACTACTAAAGTTTGAATACATATTGAATTATCTTTTTAGTACTTTTACATGCGGAAACCTTCTTCCTTGTTTTTGTTATTATATTTTAATGGAAAGTAATTTATATTTAACAAATATTTCAATGGCTCATCCATGTCAATCAACTAAATCAATAAGAACATGCTTAGTTTATTCCCATTAGGGGGTTGTATAAAAAATACAAAACAAAATAGATGTTTGGTGATTGTATTTACTTGATCTGGCTTTTGGTGTGCTCCTAAGCAAGTCTGTCAACTTTTTTTGCCTGTGGACATATTGTAGGGGCTCATCCAAGTATTTGTCTCTTCTATCGATTGGCATGTAGTGATTTAGTGCCTTCCTCTGGATTGTGCACACAAGAACTGTTGGCCAGGTTAGTCAAGGTTGTTTAGTGTTGTTAAGATTATCATGAATGCATACTCATCCTTATTATAAACACCCCTCTCCCCATTATCTCTCTCTCCGCATGAGGGATGAGCTGCTATATAGTTACAATTGCTTTTTATCACAATCTCACATGTTTGTTTATGGTTTTTTTTATTACACCATGTTTCATTTATTAGCTTGATCACTATTTCTCCTTCTTATATACTTTAGTTCAGTGAAAGTATTTTCAGGGAATACGGCAAAGAATTATGCATCATTGTATTAAGAGAAATTAAGTTCAAGAAAGAAAATAAAAGGTGTTGGCCTAATTCTCGTTGGTTCAGGTGTGACCAAATCGACTACCAAAAAAACTACAAATAAGCTAGGGCAGAAAACCTGCATCCATCGGCATCAGGCCAAAAAGAGGAGCACACAAAAACTTCAGTCCCTCCACTCCAAACTTCTCTTGGCTCATCTCTATCCGAATCTTGATATGAATACTTCATTTGCCACCTTTTTTTCCATTTGTATTCACCATCTCAGTTCATGTTCTATCCTTTTAGCCTTTTTCCTATCATTTGCATTCTCCAACGCATTTGTCAATACTAGAACCCTTTTCATTATAAGAATTCCAAATTTATTCAACTACATGTTGTAAATCCTCTCAAGAACTAGTTGATTTCAAAGTTAAACATAGAGGATTTCCACTTAATGCCCTTTATATCATGTTGGATCTGTGCTAGCGGGGTTTGTTGGAGTTCTTAGCGTTGTCAAGGCACTAGACATGTTATGGATCCTCTGATCCCGATTTCCTCGTGACAAGTAGTAGGAGGATTTATAGAACTATACATAGTACTATATATACACACGTATTTCTCATGTTGAGGATTAGGATGGTATATGTACACAGTCGTACTGTAATGTGCACGTCTACATCTGATTGTGTTAGTACAATGTACACATCTACGTCTCGTGCTGAGGATTACATTTCATACTAAGTTTGATATCTTACACTGCAAATGATAATGCATTTTTTATATTTATTAGTGTAAGTTTATTTTCAGGTGTGATATCTGTTAATTCTTATTTTGGATGATTCACTTTTGTCATCATGTTACCTATTTTCTTTCAAGTGATATCTGTTAACTCAAAGTGTTGTAATTAACCAAAATAATTGGTAAATTGCTTATCTCATCCTAATATTTTAAATGTTTGATCGATTTCTTCAAATATTGATGTTTATTTCTGTAGGTTCCCCCTCCACTTTAGCTTAAGCTCTATTAGTGACGATGAGCAACCCATAACCATGGAGATCATCTATTTCTTCTATAAGGTACCCTTTGTTCTATGAGCTTAAGGGGCATGTGCCCCCCATTGCCCCTTGTGGGCTTCGCTCCGTTGCATCATTGCATTGACGGTGCGGAGAGGGCAAGATAGAAAATGCGCTACTATTCGCGGTTGGTTGCGATGTGCTCGTCTACAAAGAATCGTGCGTAGGTATGTCTTGGTGGATATGCTTACCGACCTTACGGAGATATGTCTTGGTGAATATGTGGTTTGCGGTGCTTTGGGGTTGCTGGAGTTGCTCTTACGGAGATGTCTCGGTGGATATGTGGTTTGAGGTGCTTTGGGTTCCTGCAGTTGCTCCTCCAATCAGCACACCAGTTCTTTTGTGTCGTGAGACACATATCCACTACCCTGCACATCATGATGGTTATGATCAATATGATATGTTCACTGGCTCAAATAATCTCCTTATACTTTATAATCTCATGATTAATATGCATAGAGCATGACGATAATCAATAAATTCTACTCTCTCAGTTTCAAAGTACAAGTATTAATAGTTTGTTTAGAAAAAATTGAGAATAAAATGAAATACTTTCAATGTCTTTTCCTCAGATCCCTCCCCAATCAATGATGGACCAAAATAAGCCGTGCAATGAAAGATCCCTCCCCAATGATGGACCAAAATAAGCTGGGCAATGAATGGAGTAGTAAAGCACTACTAACATTTTTTCTACTTTCCTCGTTATGTAGTACGAGCAAATATATTTTTAAACAAACAGTGGATGATGGTACTTGGCTTTGGAATAGTGTCATGGAAATTATTTATAAAACTGACTATATTTTGGAAATGGATAGAGTTAATTAATGTTTTGTTTATATGGGCCTCAATGCTGGCCATGCAAATGAGGTCTTACAACTCACTTCCCCTCAAACGCCCCCTAATTTGATTAAGTTATATAGAGTAAAAGTTATATCTATGTTCATGTAGGTGCTCATGTGTTACACGTGAGGTAGGGTGAATTGCAGCTTGAGCGCTACCCTGCTTGGTAGACAGCATGATCTTTGCATCAGCGTGGTTGAGTGCACACGGTTCCTAGTTGGATCTGTGCTAGCGGTGTTTGTTGGAGTTCTTAGCGTTGTCAAGGCACTAGCACGTTATGGATCCTCGGATCCTGATTTCCTCGTGCCAAGAAGTATGATCTATAAAACTATACGCAGTATTATATATACACATATTTCTCGTGTTGAGGATTAGGATGGTATATGTACTCTACATCTGATTGTGTTAGGACTATGTACACATCTACGTCTCGTGCTAAGGATTGCATTTCATATTAAGTTTGATATCCTTATACTGCAAATGATAATATATTTTTTATATTTATTTGTGTAAGTTTATTTTCAGGTGTCATATCTGTTAATTATTATTTTGGATTTATTTTTGTTATCCTATTATCTATTTTCTTTCAAGTGATATTTGTTAGCTCAAAGTGTTGTAATTAACCAAAATAAATGGTAAATTAGTTATCTCATCCTAATATTTTAAATGTTTGATCAATTTATTTAAATATTAATGTTTATTTCCATAGGTTCCTCCTCCATTTTAGCTTAAGCTCCATTGGTAACGACGAGCAACCCACAACCATGGAGATCAACTATTTATATAAGGTACCCTTTGTTCTATTAGCATAGAAAGGCATGTGCCCCCATTGGCCCCTTGTGGGCTTCGCTCCGTTGCAACATTGCAACGACGGTGCGGAGATGGCAAGATAGAGGAGGTGCTACTAGCCACGGTTGGTCGCGTTGTGCTTGTCTAGTTAAGAGAGGGCAAGATAGAAGAGGCGCTATTAGCCACGGTTGGTCGCACTATGCTTGTCTGCATAGGTGGTAGGCGCTTAGGCTGACTTATATATGGCGAGATTAGAGAAAGTAGGTGTTATTAGCCACGGTTGGTCGCGCTATGCTTATCTAGTGCGTAGGTGGTAGGCGCTTTGGCTGACTTATATATGACGAGATTAGAGAAAGTGAGATTTGATGGTTCGAATTGCGACGACGAGCAACCCAAAACCATGGAGATCAAGAGGGTGAAGATTGTCGTTCACGTGGCGAGGATGTGCTCGATGATCCTCGTCATCAGGGTGTTTATCATTATATCCCGACGTCTTATGTCAAGCCTATGTCCTACAAGTTAGTGTTCATTGGAGAGTTTGTTCCCACTTTTTCGTGGTTTTGTTCAAGTTAATCTAGAGAGTTTGTTGTTCAGTGTTTTTGTTTACTAAAATAATTAGTTACCATGACTGGTATCCTTACCGACCTTACGGATATGTCTTGACTAAGTTTATAGGCAAATATAGTAATATTTATAATACTAAATTAGTTTCATCACATCAATAATTGAATATATTTTCATAATAAATTTGTCTTGGGTTGAAAATGTTACTACTTTCCTCATCATTGTAGTACAACAAATACATTTTTAAACAACAGTGGATGAGTGTACTTGGCTTTGGAATAGTGTCAGAAATTATTTATAAAACTAACTATATCTTGGAAATGGATAGAGTTAATTAATGTTTTATTTATATGGGCCTTAATGCTTGCCATGTAAATGAGGTCTTTCAACTCACTTCCCTCTCAAACGCCCCCTAATTTGATTAACTTATATTTATGTTCATGCAGGTACTCATGTGCTGCACGTGAGGTAGGGCTAATTGCAGCCTTGGGTACTGCCCTACTTGCTAGACAACACGATCGTAGCATTGTCAAGGCACTAGGCATGCTATGGATCTTCGATGCCGATTTCCTCGTGCCGAGAAGTAGGAGGATCTATAAAACTACACGTATTTTTCGTCTTGAGGATTAGGATGATATATGTACTCTACATCTGATTGTGTTAGCACTATGTACACATCTACCGTCTCGTGCTGAGGAATGCATTTCATATTAAGTTTGATTTCCTTACGCTGCAAATGATAATGCATTTTTTATATGGGACAATTTGAACCATGCCACACAAATTTTGCAAAATTTGTGATATGCCACCCTGACCCACATGTCATTGACTCGTGGGTCCTACATGTCATTGAGATGCGGGTGGCATATCTCAAATTTAGCATGGTTCCAACAAACCCTTTTTATATTTATTAGTGTAAGTTTATTTTCAGGTGTGATATCTGTTAATTCTTATTGTGGATGATTCGTTTTTGTCATCCTGTTATCTATTTTCTTTCAAGTGATATATGTTAGCTCAAAGTGTTGTAATTAACCAAAATAAATGGTAAATTGATTATCTCATCCTAAAATTTTAAATGTTTGATCAATTTATTCAAATATTGATGTTTATTTCTATAGGTTTCCCCTCCACTTTAGCTTAAGCTCCATTGGTGACGACGAGCAACCCACAACCATGGAGATCAACTATTTCTATAAGGTACCCTTTGTTTTATGAGCGTAGGGGGGCATGTGGGGTATTGCCTGTCGTGGACTTCGCTCTTAGGCACTGTTGCAACGACGGTGCGGGAGAGAGTGAGATAAAGGAGGCGCTACTAGCTACTGCGGATGGTCGCGTAGTGCTCATCTACCAAGAATCGTGTATAGGTGGTATGCGTTTAAGTTGACTTATATATGACAAAATAGATATTAGAGAAAATAAGTATGGTGGTTCAAATTGGCGATGACGAGCAACCCAAAACCATGGAGATCAAGAGGGTGAAGATTGTAGTTCACGTGGCGAGCATCACATCGATGATCCTTGCCTTTAGGTTAATGTTTATCATCTATGTCCCGATGTCTTATGTCAAGCCTCTGTCCTACAGGTTAATGTTTGTTGGAGAGTTTGTTCCCACTTTTTTATGGTTTTATTCCGAGTTAATCTGGAGAGTTTGTTCAATGTTGTTGTTTACTAAAATAATTAGTTACCATGACTGATATGCTTATCGAACTTACGTAGATATGTCTGGGTGGATACGTGGTCTGAGGTGTTTTGGGGTTGCTGGAGTTGCTCCTCCAAGAAGCACACTAGTTCTTTTATGGCGTGGGACATATATCCACTACGCTGCTCACCATCATGATCATAATGATATGTTCACTGGCTCAAATAATCTTCTTGAACTTTGTACTCTCCTCAGTGTCCCATCGATATATTGCAATCTTCTTGAACTTTGTACTCTCCTCAGTGTCCCATCGGTATATTGCACAAAGAGACATTATCAGTAGCAAATCGTTGAACTGAGACAAACTCAGTAGCATATAGTAGATTCTCTCTTCTTTTTTACACTAGGTAGGTGTTCGTGCGTTGCCACTGGGAGAAATTGATGTGTTCCAGCACACGAAAAACGAAAATTGGTAAAATAAAAAACATCCACATTAAATATATATTATGCCAACATCATTATTTTTGTTGTGGTTTAGAATAATTGTAGTCATTTGGATCAAACTCCCTCTGTCCCAAAAAATGACAAACCCTGGGTTTCCGTGTCCAACGTTTGACTGTCTGTCTTATATGAATTTTTTTATAATTAGTATTTTCATTGTTGTTAGATGATAAAACATGATTAATACTTTATGCGTGACTTGTCTTTTTAATTTTTTTCATATTTTTTTCAAATAAGACGGACGGTCAAATGTTGGACACGGAAACCTAGAGTTTGTCTTTTTTTTTTTACGGAGGGAGTATATTTGAATGGACAATATCATTCACACTTTAGAAATAATTATTTATCATAATTATACCTAACTCTAGAAGATAACTAAGGTATCGAAATAAGACTAGAAAAGGCTTATACGGAATAATCTTTTTGTACGCATAAAGGCAATAGAGAAGCTTACATTTACATAGGATCATTCACGAATGGGCCTAAAGAGTGTCTAATAAGAATATAACGCACAGGACGCTTGCAAAAAAAAGGAGGAACAAACATCTATCTATAGATGGGCTTGTGCTGACATCATCTATACGTGCTTTGCTCCAGTGCAAGTCCTAAAATATCAGGTTTGTACGTGTCAGTCAGTTTGATACTATAACTGACAAGATAGATAAATTGATGATAAAAGAACCGATCAGCCAATAAGCCGATTTGATATGGTCTTGAACAATTGGCTATATGTCCGAGGTAAATTCTAACGCTCAGATAAATAATGATATAAAGACAATAGAAGAACTTGAACAATCAATCCAATCGACCGATGATAATATAATAGAGTAGATATCCAATGATATGTGCCGAAGTTGTATTTATCGAGAGATATTAATACATGGGTAGATACTAGTCTGTTTGAAATTCCTGGCTCTTGAGGCGCCGAAGTGACCTCTTCCACCGCGCCGCCGCCTCCGGTAACGACGATGGCCGAGACGGTGGACTTCGCGAGCGGCGACGCGGCGGAGTGGCGAGCGGCGCTGGCGGCGTACGACCGCCGGCTCGCGGCCCTGGGCAAGCCCGACCTCGTCGAGGTCGACTCCTTCTACCGCCGCGACCTCCCCGATCTCCTGCGCCGCCGCGACCCGGAGCCCTTCCTCGCCAAGCCCGAGCTGGTGCGCCTCCTCCAATGGAAGCTCTCCCGCGGCAAGTGGAGGTCGTCTCATCCCGCTCTTAGATTTTCTTTCCTGTTCCTCTTTAGAGCACTTGAACTTCTGGTTCCCAGGGGCGTGTGATGTTGTAGTAGTATTTCTCGCTCAAATCTCCCTAGAAATCGTGCCGAAATGTGTGGATCAATTGGATGATGCTAGTATCTTAAGGGTGCTTGGACTGATTTGATCCATTGATTTAGGGACTCGTTTTCTTGGCAAATCAATCATTACCCTAGTTGGTTAGTTGATGATACTCCTACACTACCCTGTTATTATCAAACTCGTTGGGGGAAAAAATAATCATATTGTTGCTCTGTTCTTTTGTGCAGGCCGAGACTGATGGATTTCGTCAAGGGCTTGGAGGATGCAGTGGTAGAATCAGCATCGTGCAAGGCGTTCGCAGCGCTGCCTGACCTCCGCAAGGCCATCACCGAGCTCACCGTGCTGAAGGGCGTTGGCCCTGCCACGGCATCCGCTGTTCTCGCTGCCTACGCGCCTGATGTTGCACCGTTCATGTCTGATGAGGTGAGTTTGTGAATTTTGTTTTGGCAGTTCTGCATTTCCAGGTGAGATGAATGCATCTTTGATGTTGTAAACATGGATGGACTGTGTTTAGGCTATGGTGGCAGCCTTAGGCAATGCAAAGGAGTACACTCTGAAGCAGTATCTTGCTTTTGCTGAAAAGTTGCAAACTAAATCGAAGGTATTGCTTCTGCATTTGTGATGTGTGATAAACTGTTGTTAAGATAGCATTTGTTTTTCCTGATTGTGCTGATCGAAGTGTCTGTATAATAAGCCTTCGGTTTGCTAGGCAGCTGCAAGTCTGAACCTAGTTAATGCTTTAGGATTGTTTTGCGGTGACTATCACTTGAGTTCAGACAAAGGGGAAAAAAATACGGTGTATTCCCTTGTGTGGAGATTTCTAGTTGATACACTTCAAATATGTGGTTGATTTAATGCAGATAAACTGAAAGGGACTTCAAAAGGTAGCTGGTTGTGTGGAGTCATTTTAGAAGAATTGATCTTAGCTGACATTTGAAATTGAAATAGAACATACCACCACATATTTTTTGTTATAGTACTGTTCAAGAACTAGTGCAGAAAGATAACACCTTTTTCTTGTTTGCTGATGCTTCTCTAAATCATAACGTCCAATAGGCTCAAGGATGCCAGGCTCATAAATTTACAGAGTATGCATTACAAAAATCGTATGCCAAATTTTCAGCTGCTTGCCTTTTTATTCCAGACAGCAGCTGCAACAATAGGGTAATATACTGATAAGCTGATTAGTACTTGAACGTTATGCTTTTATATTTGCAAAATGCAAGCATGTAACGTCCGCATTGCTAGAATAACACCGAGTAAACTGCAAATTCCATATCAAAATTATAGATTGTTGAACATTTGGACTGTTAGCTGAAGTCTGAAGATGAACACATGCGGTGCTTGATTGACATTTATTTCATATTTTTTGTTTCTCTGGTAGGAATTGAGCTCAGGAGAAGAAGTTTTCACTACTTCTGATGTTGAGAGAGCGCTGTGGAGCTCAGCAGTTGCATCCAAGTCTCTTAAGGCGCCACCAGGAAATGACCTTGAGAACAAGTCAAAGACTCATGGCAAGAGAAAACGATGACTCTTGCTGCCAATGTTCTAGTTGAGCTAGGAGTTACTGATGGTAGGTCTTAGAACTTAGATTGTTCATTGTATGAAGTTAAGCAATGCTTCTGCATCTGCAAAAAGAATGTGGACTGCGTGCTCCCGATGAGCAGGTTAAACCCTTTGGAAATGTCTTCCGCTGTGAGTCTGTACATCAGTACATGGCACTGAATGAGCTGGGGGTGATGGGTGTGTTTTTCTCCACAAAATGGCATGGATACCAGATGTTGCCATGCGTGTGTTGTTCTTTGTTAGATAATTGCATCTGATCCTTTCTTCTGTGTTGCCATTCGATTTAACAGTTCATGCTGTGCAGGTGAAATTGCATTGTGCGCTTCGTATCGCTGAAAATAAAGATAAGATTGAGCATTCGTTCATTTTTCACCTGAGATTATTACTGAGCGTTGCATGTAGAGGATCGAAGGATCCCATTAAAGAGTGGGTTTTAACAATATGAGGATCACTGCAACAAATCAGGTACATTTTCCAAGTGAGATGAGAGAGGTCATTGAGACTAGAAGGTGGTCTGATTTAGTATCAAAACATGAGAACTCATCTTCACCAACAAATTCCCAACAGTTGATACTGATCATCCAGGAACACGTTATTCAAAAGTAAAAAACGGGGGAGGGGCAAAATAATCAGTTCTGACTCCTAATAGCAGCCATGGTAGAAACGACATATACATTCAAAACATTGTCGCGTTGTATTCCAGATAGAGGTTAGGCATGAATAAACATCACCTTAGAGAGGCAATTTACAGAATGAAATCTGCGATGCATGTTGAATGCCTTTGCATAGAGGCCTACGAACCCAGGTCCTACTTCATGAGTACTAGAGTACTGGTACTACATAACTAGAGTAAACATGAAGAGTGCTACAGTGTATTGCATCAATGATTTTTGCGGCATTTGGTGGAACTGGAATCGATAATGAGATGATCCCAGTGAAATATCACCTAATGGCTCTTTGTGGCGCTTCAGCAAATCTTTGTGGCGCTTCAGCAAAGCATTGCCTCCAATTAATGTTATCTCCAGGCATCACCCCTACGTCAGATTGACCAAATAGCTCCTAATTATCCTGCAGACAGATGGCATGTTAAGCAAATTGTGGATAAAAGCTAAGCACAAGCATTAGTAGATGAATAGCAAAATAAACCGTACTTCTGCCACAGCTCAATACATGAGACTATGGGAGCAAGGATTACACAGAAAAATATGATCCACTGGATGTATCTTCCTTTTCAGCATCTCAAACGGAAACGCTGAAACTGTGAAAAACTATTTGCGAGTTCTGTGTCACTGGGTTGTAAAGCTTGCTGAATAAGACGGTGTGGCACCAAAAGGCAATTTTAGATCTTGAAAGAGTCGTGCAAAAAATTTCTTCAACATTGTCATTTTAGTTCAAGGCATCAAGCATTGGCTGTGGCAAAACGTCAAGCAGAACAAAGAACTGCAGCTGAACAATTATCTGTTCGGTTGTGTAATAGATCACTCATGAAACTTCAGTCCCATAGTAGCAGATCAGGAACGTGGAGTGTCATAGCACTAGCAGTATGGAAATAGGCACATCATATGGTGACAGAGGCAGCTTTTACATGTAAATATGTTATGGATGCAAAAGGGAAACATTACAGGCAAAGAACAAACTGCAGATATAAGTATGTTCTACTCCTTCCGTTTTATAATGTAAGTCATTCTAGCATTTCCCACGTTCATATTGATGTTAATGAATCTAGATATATATCTATCTAGATTCATTAACATCAATATGAATGTGGGAAATGCTAGAATGTCTTACATTATGAAACGGAGAGAGTAATTGTCTATGTTAATTGCTACACCTCAATGGCTAGAATTGATCAGTAAACAGTTATTCAATATGCAAGAATGAATAGATCACACTTGCTTCACAATTACACATTCATTTCAGATCTAAACAGTAACTGTCAACTACATCGTAATTGTTCCCATCATATGTTGGAGACTAATAATGGGTAATGGTTGCACTGGAGATTAGCCAGATATGCACTCGGCATTCTGGTTTTTGCTGGGAGAGGACATAAATCAGACTTATGAAGTGAAGATAAAATATATGACAAGAGCACCTGATGAAGTTATTTGGTATGCAAGAACTTTCTCAATAAACATGATCCTACAAAATTGTTGCGAGAAAACTTTAACATAAGCAAATGTTGAGGCAATCCAGATTGATAGTCAGCAATAAGGCATTAGGCATGGCATAGTAAATTTATGCAGATACGGCCCCAATACCAACTGCATTCAAGTACAGTTCCTATACATATACTGTATCTAGTAATTAAAATGAATTATCAATTACTGGGCAATGCAGAAAAGTCATTGCTAGACCTGAAAGATTGAGCTATTCGAACATAATAGAACATTCTGACAGCAGTAGGAAATTTCATAAAGAGAACTGAACTTGCTGAAGAGAAGTAACAGAAGGACAAAGATTTCTCTTGAGAGATGAACATACCATGAATCACGCTAATCCTCAAGCGTTGAAATGTACTCATCTATACGCCGATGCCTCTCCCGCAGGGCTGAAAGCGCCTCTTCAGCAGCCTCATTGATCATCCTAGGGAGGTACACATTCATCCTCTGAAACCACTCCCTCAGTGTCATGGTTTCCAAGCTGCTGCTCCCAGAACTCTCCCCCTCCACTTCCACAGCCGCTCCCTCTCCTCTACCGCCGTCTTCCTCCTCAACCGCGTTGTCCGAAGCAGCATGAGCATTACTACTTGCAGTAGCCTTCCCCTTTGGAGCTCTTCGTGCCCGTCCTCTCCGCGCCACTGGCACCTCCTCCTCCTCTGATGCCTTGTCATTCTGTTCAACTTCTCCATCCATGGCTTCCACCTTATCATCTTCCTCCTCACCGTCAGTCACCGCCATTGCCCTCGGTTGATCCTTTATCTGCTCTTCTGCCACAGCAGTAGCCCCCTCTTGCTGTTCCCCATCATCGTCATCGTCCTCAGGAACGGCCATCCTACACTTCCTTGCATTAGACCTTGTAGCCCTTCCCCGTCCCTTTCCGGCCATCTCGCTCTCCCTCTCATCCAGGCTTGTGTCCACTGCCTTGCCTCTCCTAGCAGCAGCTCTCGTCGACCTTGCCCTCGGCGGCGGTGGCGCAACGGCTGCCTCCGGCGCCGCCTTCCTCGACCTGCCGCGGCGCGTCACCACCGGGACCTCCTCCTCCTCCTTCTCCTCTTGTTCCTCATCCTTCCCCTTCTCTTGCTCCTCCTCCTCATCCGGTTTAGGGGGCTCTGCGGCCTTCTTCCGCCCACAGCGGCGCGTCACCACCGCCGCGACCACCTCCTCCTCGCCCTCCTCGTGCTCCTCCGCTTTGGGGGGTTGCGCGGCCTTCTTCCGAGCACCGCGGCGAGTCACCACTGGAGCCTCCTCCGGCTCTGGCTCTTCCTTCTCCGCAATGGGCGGCTCAACCGCCACCGCCGCCGCTGCAGCGTTCTTCCGTCCGCCACGGCGGGTGACCGCAGGGGGTTTCTCCTGCTCCCCCACCACTGCGGCGGATTGGCGCGAGGAGCGCCTAGGGCCAGGGTTGGGATCCGAATCGGGCGCGATGGAGACCACGAGCATGCTGGACTCCCCGATCTTGATGACATCGCCGTCGGAGAGCGGGGAGGGGACGGTGGGCACGAGGGGGGAGCCGTTGAGGAGGGTGCCGTTGGAGGATCCCACGTCGGAGACGGCCCACCGCGAGGCCGGCGGCGGGAGGAACTCGATGGAGAGGTGGCGCTGCGACGCCCCGGCGTCGCGCACGGCGATGTCGTTGCCGGTGGCGACGCGGCCGACGCGGAGCACGGCGCCCGCCCGCCACTGCCGGGTCTCCCCGCCGCGGCGGCCCTTCTTCACCTGCAGCGTCAGCACCGGCGGCGGAGCGTCGGCCATCGCCGCACCGCCCTGCAGCCGGGAGTGGGGAATCGCGGAGAGGAGAGGGATGCGAAAAGGATTTCAAATTTTTCGGGGGGAATGCGAAATTGCCGAGGAGTGGATATGGGCACACTTCCACCTATCGTAGCAGACCCGGTTCGGTCGATCGGTTGGACCAAAAAAGATCGGACCCTACTATTAGACCGGGCCAATAGACCGTTGAGCGACGGGGAGAGGAGCCCAGCAGCCGGTGCTCGTTAGAGCAAGATAATAATACATCCAGCTGCTTAGTTATAGTCTATCTATCAGCTCACTCATATAGTGGTTAACTATTCACTATAAATATATGATCCACATGTCTGTCTTACAGATTTTCTTGGTTCCTATGTCTAAGCCGGCTGTAAACTTTGTCGAAACATGAATTCGGCAATAATAAAACGGGGTAGCGCACGAGACCTAAAAGTGGATGGATGCAGAGACAAAGGATTTAGACAGGTTCAGGCCCTCTCAATGAGAGGTAATACCCTACTCCTGTTTGGGGATTTGAATCCGCCGGGTGTAGTATAGATCTGACGATCAAGTTGTCTCATGCCCCCTAGAGGGCCTCCTGCCCACCTTATATAGGATGGGGGCAGGATTACAAGATAGAAACCTTAACCAACACGGTATCGGTTTCCTAAATCTACTTTACAATCTTATCAAACCAGGACTTTAGGCCGTTCCATAATATACAGGGAAACGTAATACCCAAGTCATAATCTGTTACATATTTCATATATATAAGTTATCCCCTATAACTAGTCGGATAACCATGCCGTGTGGGTATGGGGTACCCATAATCTCCACAGTAGCCCCTGAGACCTTCACAGTCGAAAAGATAATCTTCTCTCGAACTAGATTACTCCAAAACCGAGTACTTCAATCATCTTTGCCATGGTCTCCCGAGTATTTTTACCAAATCTGAAGACTGTGGAGGGCTGAAAAATAAAGTCAGGTGCATCGACTAGATGCACCGAGTGGTTTCGATAATTGTAGTCAACCAAGCGACTTAATATTAATATGTAGCATATGCGGTGTGAATCCCTGAATAATATGATCCAAGTGATATACCGACTGCTTTGTAAAATATGATGAGTGTAACCTAAAGTTGGCTACATCATTGAAAATTCACATAGCAAAATAGCTATAAAGAAGCTTGTATGTTGTGAATAAAGAAATTTTCAAAGTATTGGGCATACGCCATGCGCACACTGCTTTAACAGATGTGCTTAAGTCCCTAGAAGACACATGGTTCCACCACACCTGGAAATATATGGCATATGTGGTATAAAATCCGAGTAAATAAACTCATAAAGGATTTACCAACCGCCTGAAAAATGACCACAATATATAATCAGCCTAAGCCATAATATTGGTCAATAAAAATGCACACTTACGTGGCAAAAAGCAATGATATTGTATCCAATCAATTGCTTAAAAACCCAAACAGCACCATGACTATATAAAAAAGCCAGCGGGGCAGCTATATAAAGCTTTACTGTTTGACACCTTTTAAGATGCATTGTACCAACTCCTAAAAAGTTGAGTAACTGCGGTATAAAAGGATTTTAAGGTATTGGGCACTTGATCACGCGCACTTTGGCCTAAGCAAAAAGTGCCTAAGTCCCTAAAAGAACGTGACAGGCCACACCTGAAAATATGGGCTGCAGACATATTAGGCCTAGGCCAAAAAATATGCCTTCGATACCCTTTAAAGGATGACACATGTAACATGCTCCCGGGTGATATAGACCATGTGATCTGAGTGATTATCCCTTATGGGATACTCCAAAATAGATATAACAATTGAATCCCGACTGGCGCAAGTATTCAGTTGATAACCCTTACGGGGAATAATAAATAGTCCAGTCTTTGAGCATATAAAATAGACCCATGATCATGAATTCATGTTGCATATATCCGGAGCAAGTCCAAATTGAAGATATAATACTTGTATTTGAGCTAGTAAGCCCCTGAGCACGTAGTCACAATTGTTCATTGATGGTAGCTGACGCAGTTGGCATAGAGACAAGACGACCAATATAGAGATAATATTGCCCAACAGAGGTGGCAAAAATATTGGTGGTGTGGTAGTGAAGATAGTGATACCAATCAAAAGTGATGAAGTTGCACAGCCGTGGAGGCGAAGAAACCAGTCGGCAACAGTCAGGTCAGCCATCAATGAAGATGAAGGCGCCCAGCGATAAAGTTGTGTAGCCATGGCAGCGAAATAATCAGTCGGTGACAGACGAGGCAGATCAAAGGCGATGACGAAATCCACCAATCATGAAGATGAGGAAAATAGTCGGCGACGACAAACGTAACCGACAGTAATGATGATAAGCATCAACAGAGATGATCAAACATGATGACGAAGTTGCCTATCAATAGCAGTAGAGTAAGCTATGATAAAGAGGTTTGACAGGATGTTGATGAAGATGACGATGTCGGTGATCCAGTCAATAGCGGTGTAATAGCCGATGATAATGACGAAGACGCTCATCAGCGTTTGCATAGTAGGTCAACCGTGAAGGCGGAATAGCAAGTTGGCAAAGTCTTAGTCATCCATTAGCAACGGCGGAATGTCAGAGCTGATGAAGCAGATGTGCTGGTGATGATGTCAGTGACAATAATCCATCAAACTGTTGTAGATGCTTCACTTGGAGGAAAGTATATGCTGTTGTTCAACTCATTGAATCTGATATGAGTTGATTGGTTGATGACTCCAAACTCCCAGACATGTAAATTTAATCTTGACCTACTGCTCTGAAGCGAAGACAAAATTGATGACTCCCAGAGTTGACTTGTTGGCTGATTAATTGATTGCTTCATCTTGACATAAAGCTTGTCAAATTTTGAGCCATGTATTTGTGTAGCCCCCGACTCTTTGATTAGTTGGGAAACAACTGAACATAGAGTCGAGAATTATAGCTTCTTGTTGTCGAGTAGTCATCACTTGATTGAAGATATGTGTTGAAGATGTCCAAGTAGAAATCCTGAATATTGGAGAGCCACTTGTTGTAGTAAAATAACATGGCATTGCATGCCGAGATGTCGAGGTTCACAAAGACGTCGTGGGTGGTGAAGTAGTAAAACTTGCGAAGTAGCAACAATAGAGTTTGCCGGTGCCGAAGATAATAAAGATGAAGTCGCTCCACCATGATGACAAAGTTGTATTGCCGTAATGAAGTGAACACAAGTCGGCGGCAACAGAAGCAAACCGGTAGTGAAGACGCGCAGTTGTGAAGATAAAAGCACCAGTCGGCGGCGGCATAATCAGTCGGCGACGGAAGATGATGATGTCCATCAGTAGTGGTAGCTGTATAAACCAGACGTAGAGGCGAGGGCACTAGTCAGCAGCAGACGAGACGACCAGCGATGAAGATGGTAAGGCCAATCAACACTGGCAGAATCATGCAGCCATGGAAGTGAAGAAACCAGTCGGCAGCCATGACAAACGTAGGCAGCTTGTGTTGAAGATACTGATGCCTATTAGTAGTGACAGCGATGTAGCCAGCCGTGAAGAAGATAGCATCAGTTGGCGTTATAACAGGCCAGCCGTGCAGGCGGTGACACCAGTCAGCGGCGGATGCGGCGGCCGGTCGGTGAAGACGTAGACGCCCAATAACGGCAGCATAATAGGCCAGCCGTGCAGGCGGAAACACCAGTCGGCGGCGGTCGAGGCGGCCGGTCGGTGAAGACGTAGACGCCCAACAACGGCGGCATAAAGGCCAGCCGTGCAGGCGGAAACACCAGTCGGCAGCGGACGAGGCGGCCGGTCGGTGAAGACGTAGACGCCCAACAACGGCAGCATAAAGGCCAGCCGTGCAGGCGGAAACACCAGTCGGCAGCGGACGAGGCGGCCGGTCGGTGAAGACGTAGACGCCCAACAACGGCAGCATAAAGGCCAGCCGTGCAGGCGGAAACACCAGTCGGCGGCGGTCGAGGCGGCCGGTCGGTGAAGACGTAGACACCCAACAACGGCGGCATAAAGGCCAGCCGTGCAGGCGGAAACACCAGTCGGCAGCGGACGAGGCGGCCGGTCGGTGAAGACGTAGACGCCCAACAACGGCAGCATAATAGGCCAGCCGTGCAGGCGGAAACACCAGTCGGCGGCGGTCGAGGCGAGCCGGTGGTGACGTTCTGACTGATCCATTCCTGGAGCGTAAGAGATAAGCTTAAAGCCATGAATCCCTTTTATGCATATCTGGATCTGGATCCTGCAGAACAAACATATAGGATGAGTAGTATCTGATATAAATATAATACTCGAGAAAAAATCAAGTATTTTAAAATATTTATAAATATGTATTTCTCCTCTTGTCAATTTTGATTTCCCCGAGCAGATGACTCTGTACGTTTAAACACTCTGTCCGACTAGTCATAACCATCAAGCACCGGGAGTCGGCCTAGGCACTTCCCAAACATGCATATGAGTGACATGAGTTCGTCATTAATGGAACAAAGTTTCACGGATCAGAATTTTCTACTCGGGTACTTTTGCAATTATTAAGAGCAGAAAATAAATTTATCTCATCTCTATGCTTTTGATTTATTCCGAATAATACTTAGCACCTTGCGTTACTCGGTCCATCCAACGAGCCCCCGGGTGCTAGGAATCGGCCCAAAGGCAACCATCCATTGGCAAACCAAACGGAAAGCATAGGAAGATAGAACTCCATAACTCGATAGGTACTTTTGTACTCAGATTATGTCGCAAGCAATCAAGATAAATATTATGAAAAATATGATATAACATCTGTAGCCCCCGACTCACTACTCAATGGAAGACCAATTGGTGTAGTGAGGCAGAGGAAAAGGAAAAATATCATATAAAGAATAAAATAAATGATGACTTAGCTTTATAATATTCCCCTTGGTGATGGCAGAAGTGGCCAATGTGGGAACAAAGTCGTCCATCAATAACAATGAAGACACCAGTCGGCGGCGACGAAGGCGGTCGACGGTGAAAGCGAAGACGTCCAACAACGGCGGCATAATAGGCCAGCCGTGTAGGCGGAGGCACCACTCGGCGGCGACGGAGGCAGGCCGGCGGTGAGGACGTAGACGTCCAACAACGGCGGCATAATAGGCCAGCCGTGTAGGCGGAGGCACCACTCGGCGGCGACGGAGGCAGGCCGGCGGTGAAGTCGTAGACGCCCAACAGCGGCGGCATAATAGGCCAGCCGTGTAGGCGGAGGCACCACTCGGCGGCGACGGAGGCAGGCCGGCGGTGAAGTCGTAGACGCCCAACAGCGGCGGCATAATAGGCCAGCCGTGTAGGCGGAGGCACCACTCGGCGGCGACGGAGGCACGCCGGCGGTGAAGTCGTAGACGCCCAACAGCGGCGGCATAATAGGCCAGCCGTGTAGGCGGAGGCACCAATCGGCGGTGACGGAGGCAGGCCGGCGGTGAAGTCGTAGACGCCCAACAGCGGCGGCATAATAGGCCAGCCGTGTAGGCGGAGGCACCACTCGGCGGCGACGGAGGCAGGCCGGCGGTGAAGTCGTAGACGCCCAACAGCGGCGGCATAATAGGCCAGCCGTGTAGGCGGAGGCACCAATCGGCGGCGACGGAGGCAGGCCGGCGGTGAAGTCGTAGACGCCCAACAGCGGCGGCATAATAGGCCAGCCGTGTAGGCGGAGGCACCACTCGGCGGCGACGGAGGCAGGCCGGCGGTGAAGTCGTAGACGCCCAACAGCGGCGGCATAATAGGCCAGCCGTGTAGGCGGAGGCACCAATCGGCGGCGACGGAGGCAGGCCGGCGGTGAAGTCGTAGACGCCCAACAGCGGCGGCATAATAGGCCAGCCGTGTAGGCGGAGGCACCAATCGGCGGCGACGGAGGCAGGCCGGCGGTGAAGTCGTAGACGCCCAACAGCGGCGGCATAATAGGCCAGCCGTGTAGGTGGAGGCACCAATCGGCGGCGACGGAGGCAGGCCGGCGGTGAAGATGACGATGCCCATCAACGGTGGTGTGACCAACCGACCGTATAGGCGGGGACACCAGTCGGCGGCGACGGAGGCAGGCCGGCGGTGAAGTCGTAGACGCCCAACAGCGGCGGCATAATAGGCTAGCCGTGTAGGCAGAAACACCAGTCGGCGGCGGCGAAGGCCAGCCGGTCGGCGAAGACGTGGACGCCCATGAACGGTGGTATGACCAACCAACCGTATAGGCGAGGACACCAGTCGGCGGCGACGGAGGCAGGCCGGTGGTGAAGTCGTAGACGCCCAACAGCGGCGGCATAATAGGCCAGCCGTGCAGGCGGAAACACCAGTCGGCGAAGGCCAGCCGGTCGGTGAAGACGTGGACGCCCATGAACGGTGGTGTGACCAACCGACCGTATAGGCGGGGACACCAGTCGGCGGCGACGGAGGCAGGCCGGCGGTGTAGATGACGATGCCCATCAACGGTGGTGTGACCAACCGACCGTATAGGCGGGGACACCAGTCGGCGGCGACGGAGGTAGGCCGGCGGTGTAGATGACGATGCCCATCAACGGTGGTGTGACCAACCGACCGTATAGGCGAGGACACCAGTCGGCGGCGACGGAGGCAGGCCGGCGGTGAAGACGATATCGCCATCAGCAACGGCAGCGGCGCACACCAACCGTGGAGGCGATGAAACCAATCGGCAGCGACGAAGGCGGCCGGCGGTACATGTATAAAATAATAGATCAAATAATAATTAGTGATCTGTGAATTAATTCTAATTTATATAAGAAAATTTAGAACGATAAACCTGGTTTGTGATCCAACTTTGATTCGAGGCCTGTCAATGGATGAACCGTAGCATGCAGCCGTGTCATGCAGCCGTGTAGACATGTAATCGTCGGTAGCACATGCACGGATTAGTTTGGAGACCACTTTGTGCATGTAATAGCTGATTTGTGTATGGATTAATTTCCTTGACCACAGATTTGACCAGGTATATTTAATTTGTATCCTGGACTTTGTGTCTTGCCGTACGTATCCGAGTAGTATTGACTTGGTGATGTACAGGCTCAACCAACGGTGATCTTCGCATGATTTTGGCGGCGGCTGCTTGCTGATTGCTTCAAATCATGCCCTGGTGACGAAACCGACGGACCAACAGATATGGCAGCATTGTAGCGACGGATTTGATCTCACTGACGGAGGTAAAATTGACGGTAACAAGCTGGTTGTAGATCGATTCGATCGGTGATTAATCTCCTGGTTGATTGACCAGATCCAGATAGAATTTTTGGCGACGAAGACCCTGCCCTTTTGTTGAGAGGATCACGGCCAAAGACAAGAGTAGCACCGATGATGCCGGCACAAAGTTCCATCGCACTTCTCGACGGAAAACTCGACGCAGCCCCTACCTGGCGCGCCAACTGTCGAAACATGAATTCGGCAATAATAAAACGGGGTAGCGCACGAGACCTAAAAGTGGATGGATGCAGAGACAAAGGATTTAGACAGGTTCAGGCCCTCTCAATGAGAGGTAATACCCTACTCCTGTTTGGGGATTTGAATCCGCCGGGTGTAGTATAGATCTGACGATCAAGTTGTCTCATGCCCCCTAGAGGGCCTCCTGCCCACCTTATATAGGATGGGGGCAGGATTACAAGATAGAAACCTTAACCAACACGGTATCGGTTTCCTAAATCTACTTTACAATCTTATCAAACCAGGACTTTAGGCCGTTCCATAATATACAGGGAAACGTAATACCCAAGTCATAATCTGTTACATATTTCATATATATAAGTTATCCCCTATAACTAGTCGGATAACCATGCCGTGTGGGTATGGGGTACCCATAATCTCCACAAACTTACAGCCTGCTTCTCATCTCTCTCCTCTTTTCTCCCATCCACCTCAGCATTCAGCCTTCTTATAGCCCACTATTATACTTACTCTTAGTCGTTAGGGATTGCCTTTCTTACTACCATGTGGGCCTGATAATCTTTTGGCCCACACGTTACTTACAAAGGTAATCCGCTCATTAGAGAGTGGTTCAAAGTAAAATATGTAAATACTTTTAGCTTTATTATATAAAATATAGAATTTAGAATAGCGCAAAGACTTCAAAGTGAAACTTTGTTAAAAAATCTTGTCCAAATGGTAATTTAGGGACCCTTTGAAATGGAGGATTAGCAAAGAAATTTTGAAGGATTTTTTTCTAGAGTCCTTTGATTCCATAGGATTCCATTCCTATGGTCAATTCCATATGAAAATAAATAAGAGGTTAGATCTCTTGTGAAACTTTTCTTCGTTGATTGTTGAATGTTTCCTGTGATGCAATCAAAGAGTCCATCTTTTTAGAGTAAATTGCGTTCACGATACACAAACTTGTATGGTGGGTGCAATTAGGTACAATAACTTGTAAATTGCTTATTCCGGTACAATAACTTGGCTAGTTCATACAAAGATGGGCCAAACTAATCCACACAAGTAAAATTGATGTAATATGATACGTACTAGTGTGTAATTATTGTTACACATCAAAATTTTTTACTGACACATATTATTAGTCGCATGATACTTTTAAGATCTAGACCAACGAAAAAGCAAAATAATTAAAAATACCTGATTGTTAAAATACACTTTCGATGAAAGTGTCAGAACATGAACATGAAAATTAAAATTTTCTTTTAGTAGTTAATAGTACATATAAAAATTGTCTTGGTCTTGAACAGATAAATAAACATTAGACGAGTTATATAGATGATCAAATTTTTCCAAAAAATGAAACAAATATTGTACCATGGACATGAAAAATAAACTTTTGCACATTTTTATTTGGATTCGAAATAAGATCTCCAAATCACAGTTATATGTATATGTTGTTATGTCATTAGTGTGCACTAATTTAGAGCAATTTTACTTGTGTGGATCATTTTGGCCCGGTTCACACCAACTAGCCAAGTTATTGTATCAAAGTGAGCAATTTGTAAGTTGTTGTATCTATTTGCACCCACCACACAAGTTCATGTACCGCGGGTGTAATTTACTCATCTTTTTATATATATTTTTTTCTCAATTTTCATAGGATTGGAAAAACATAATACTTCAATTATTACGTTTTTTTCCTATTGTGTTTTTTTTTCGCCGGGAACCTATTGTGTTTTTCTATCGTGCGTTTTAAGGGGGGTCTTACTACACGACAAATGTATGTATTCATCCCAATTTTCAGGCAAACAGTCATTTTCTTCTTCTAGCCAACGTTTTCCGCAGGTACACATAGTCAAAACACCCGATCTGGTTTTTGTTGGCTTAACCAAACGAACAATAGAAAACCAAACCATGTTTCTTCGGCTCCTCACCACCCTAGAACAAAGAACATTACTTTAGTGCAGTACTCCGTATTTCTTAAGGGAGGAATTCAATTAAGAAATACTTAAACAAATGTAACTTAAAGTAATACTATTCGTGATACTTTAAACTACAATATATAATGAAACCAGAGAAATTCAATGCCCATCAAACTTGGGAAAAGAAATACTGCTACGTATACATCAACCTACCAGTTATCACAAATTGAAATTACAATGAGATATACTTATGATCACAATCATACTGCATGCAACAACTTAAGAGACATAAAGTAGATCATTACAGACTACCTATTTCTCTGCACGTGTAAGATTTTACAGTTCGCTCTAGTTGCATATGAAAAAAAAAACAATATATTTTTTTGTGACATGTTTATTGACTTGTTTGGATTAGCAACTTTACAATCTAGATCCAGTGATTCCCCAAGAAAAAAAATATTAAACCTCACACAGAATGATCTAGAGTAATAAGTCGAAACTATATAGAGCAACTATCAGAAGGCAAAAACTAGTCCTTGCATGAAATTATTCATCATCAAAATCATCAAAAAGGTCAGTTTTGTCAGCATGCCTATTGGATTGATTCTGACCAGCCTGCCTCAAGCGACTCCTTTTCTGCCCTTTCTTTCTCTTTGCCTTAGGCTTCTCTTCAAGATCCCTCACCCCACGCCTCTTATACATCTTGAAGCTAACATGTCTCTCCTCCGCCATCTTCCTCACCTTCTCAGTGATCTCAGCAGCAATCTGCCTGTTGTAGAGCTTCTTCAGTCCCTTCATCAGCTTTGCAAATGTGTCGGGCTGCGGCATCAGACCAGCGTCAAGCATGTCCAAGCAATACATGCAGGCCTCCTTGACGTGTTTCTTTGCGTACAGTGCATGAATCCAGATTGTCCATGCGCCAAAATTGAGCTCACAGCCTTTGGTCATAATGCATCCCCAAACATCCTTTGCAAGCTCAAGTTTCTGATCTCTGACCAATGAATTGAGGAGGTCCTTCAGCACCCCATACTGGGGTGCAACAAAGAGTCCCCTCCCAACCATGTCCTTGAAATAACCGCAGGCCTCAACCAGCACGCCTTGGCCAACGAGGCCAGTCACCATGATAGCAAATGTGTCAACCCCGGGACTAAGCTCGTTGGTCTCCATCTCGTTCCACAATGCCACAGCCTGCTTCGTCTCCCCGAGTTTGCAGGCCAACCTGATCACCACATTGTAGATGCTGAGGTCTGGCGGGCACCTGCACTCCCTCATCCTCTCCATCAACTCCAAGCACTCCTCAAGCTGCTCCTTCTTCTCGTGCGCGACGAAGAACCCGAGGTACACGCCGGCGTCCACCCGCAGACCCTCCCTTGCCATGACGTCCAAGAACTCATATCCCTGTGATATCCTACCAGCCTTGCAGAACGCAGTAACCAGAGTGCCATAGGTGACGGAATCCGGTGCACACCCCTTCCTGCGCATTTCCACAAACACCCGCATTGCCTCATCAACCCTCCCCCTGGCGCCAAGCCCCTGCATCAGGGTGGTGTACGACACGGCGTTCGGCGGGCAGCCACGCCGCTCCATCTCCCGGGCCAGCTCGAACGCGTCCTCGAACCGCCCGTCGGCGACGAAGCCGGCGAGGAGGGTGTTGAAGACGACGACGTCCGGGGCGACCTCCGCGGCCTTCATGCGGGCGAGCACGTGCTTGGCCTCGTCGAGCTTGCCCATGCGGCACCACCCGTAGAGCAGCGCGGTGTAGTGGCGGAGCGAGAGCGGGAGCCTGGGCTGGAGCTCCTCGACGAGCTGCTCGGCGACGGCGACATGGCCGGTCTTGGCGAGGGACTCGAGGAGGGAGAGGAAGAGCGAGGGGTGGTCGTGGTTGGGGCGCGCGGAGAGGAGTGAGAGCGCGAAGGGGAGGAGGCGCGGGGGCGGGAGGCGGCGGAGGACGGGGGAGAGGAGGGACGGGGAGAGGAGCTGGGCGGGGAGCGGCGCGAGGAGGGAAGGGGACGGCGCGGAGGAGGCGCGGGAGAAGGACTTGGCGAGGAGCGCGAGGGAGGAAGGGAGCGGCCCCGGCGGCGGCAGCGACGGGGAGCACCAGTGGAAGAAGTGGAGCGCGAGCGCGGAGGCGGCGCCGCAGCGGCGGAGGACGGCGTCGAGGAGGCGCGGCGAGGTCGGGTCGAGGCCCGAGCCGGAGAGCGCGGCGGTGAGCCTCTTGGGGTCGGAGTGGTGGCGGCGGAGGAGGCGGTACGCGAGCTCCGCGGAGGAGGCGAGGGCCGGGTCGGGCGCCGCCGCGGCCACGGCCGCCGTGCATAGGCGGCGGCGCAGCGGAGCGGAGAGGAGGCGCCGCATGGTGGGCTGGACTGTGGCAGTGTGGCGCAACTGCGCAAGCCCAGAATGCTTGCCCGGTTCATTTTTCTTTTCTTTTTGGTTCATTTTTTATTTTTCTTTTTCGTGGCAACATGATTATAGGAACAACTTAGTACCAGATTTAATATATTCTATTACTATAAATCAGATTCATTTTTTATGGGAAGATTCATTTTTTATAGGACGGAGGGAGTACTCTCCACGTATCAGAGTATGATCATACGGTGTCATTTCGAAAGTGACATGTTGGTTTATGGCTAGATTGCACTCACAATTTCAGTCTGATACTGCGATCTGCTGTGCAGAATCAACAGGGTCAGCTGTAACAAACCGAATTCATATCCATGCATCATTTAACGCATATAGATGATAGGCAGCACCGGTTTGAGCTAACCACAGCTCTAATGCACAACAGAGTAACTGAGTAAGTCGTAATAAACATTGTTTTTCTGCTATAATATTATGGGCTACTTATTATTTTCTATCAGATCTTCACTCTACTTTCTACTAATAAAAAATAAACCAGCAGGTGTACACAACAAAAATGCTCACCCGCAGTCCAGATTTTGCACCCCAAATTAGTGGCTAAGCACAAATGAGCAATTTCCTTTTGCACCTTTGTCGACAATATCCTAGTCTACATCAGGGCCGTGTGCTCCCAAAAAAAAAAACTCGCAAATAAAAACTTGTGCTTACAGGCTATCAACAGATACAGCCGAACCTAACAGATCATCCACTTGATTGCAAGGCCTGCTGATACTGTCTTCATTGATCCTTTCAATCTTCCCAATGAGCTCCAGTGAAGCTACATATTCACATTCAACTTGCATCATTTTTTCTCTCCAGTTTTATTGCTTCGTATGATTTGACAACCTCCTTAAACCTCTCTTCTGCAGCCTCTGCACAACATAAGATGTTCATGGTATTCGTGGATACATAACAACACGATACATATATATGACGAATCAAGAAAAAAAAAGCATGGAGTTGTTAGCCACCTCTATTATCTTGATTTTGATCAGGGTGAACCTCCATTGCTTTTGTTCTAAAAGCATTCTGCAGCAAGTAAATTCCTGACGTTAGATACTCAGCTACATATCACACACAGCAAACATGGTAAATATACCAAACAACAAATTCGGTCTGCAGATCTAGAACAACAAATCCCTACTAGATTTTTGGGGCTATCTTCTCTTGAAAAAGGAAATGAGAAAAATTTCAATTTCTTTCATGAACCGGATGGTCTTTGGCCATTCCCTTTATAACCAGATATTCCCAAAAAGCCACTTAATACATTCATATACAATAGGAAAGAACATAAAATATGAAATATTTGATTGGTGGAATCAAAGATCACGTAAGAATTATTGAAAAACACGGTTAGAGAGTTGTTCCATCGTAGGAAAATTGGGGACGGCACAATGCAAAATCCTCAACATCCATACAAATTAACAGGGTATGATTTCTGGATAGCTAGCTGAAGGATTTTTAGTTAGCTTGGATATTTGATAAGTGATATGGTAAAACAAAAATAAATAATCACAAACATAATGTTTCCATTTCTTTGCTAGTAAGAAAAGGCATGAAAACTCTTGAATCAGAAAGAGCAAAAGAGTTTAGCACAACAAAGGGGATGTAAAAAAGAGGTAGTTGAAAGCATAAAGAAAGCTGGAACAGGCGGTAGGCTTCCATCCAGGATCAGAAAGGAGGTAATTAAACCATCAGAGGAAATGCCACTATCATGTCAGCTGAGACAAGTTAAAACATACTACAGTACAAGTCTGGAGGAACAATAGCATGACAGACAGATATTCGAATACAATACCTTGACTTCTGCGTCGGTGTATGGTGTTGTCCGTGACCTACAAAGGAGGACATGGCTTGTTAGGACAAATTGGTATATCTGTAGCACATCCTACTATTGTGAAGGTTATTCTCAAACAAAGGCAGTTGAGGGAAGGGAAAAAAATGGGGATAAAAGCATCATTGTGTTTAATCAAATGAAATCGACATCATAGTTTATTTGTTCCTTTCCATCAAGAACTATGAGTATCAACAGTTAGATTGCAAAAAAAAACTTTTAGAAATGCAATAGGAAATTTCTTATGTACTACTGAATGCGTAAAGAAAAGGGATAAACATCGCAGCACCAGTATACAGCATATAAGATTTCCAAGATTATCTTTTAAACTCATAATAGACTTGTCTGTACATCAAAATATCCTAGTTCACTGAGCTCAGATAGCCTTGATGTCTGTCCTGACAAAGGATTATCCTTTTCTTTAAGGATCAACAATCCTCATTTCACTACTGATTATAGTGTGCTACGTGTGCTTCCGTCACTTCTTATAAAGGCTTCTAGTGTACTACTTTGGATACCAACTAATTGACAACTTGTTTTATTATCAATAGCAGAAATGTTTCACCAGATAACCAGAATTGGTAAAAAAACTATGAAACTAACATGAATATACAGAACAATATAGCAATGCCAATTTGACCTTGATTATATAGCAAAAAATAGCAATGAGAAACTGGTCCCATAATAGAACCTCTCGCATGCCAGATGACTGCAAGATGCTAATGAAAGCTTCCTACTACCAAAGGACCACTTTAGGGATTTCAGGTAATATAGAGCTGGGTTCATAAAATGGTAGTATTGAAGCAAAGCAGGCTTGTTCTATTTTTAGAAGACGTAATAGCCAGATTCAAACAAAAACACAAGAACTCAGTGCAAAAAAAGGAATGACCATCTGACTAGTGTATTAGCCAGATTATACCATACACAAGGAAGTCCATGGGTCAATACTACATGAAATGTTTAACAGAGCCTTCTAATCCAAAATACTAAACCTTCAGCTCCACTATATTACAACATGTGTCTGAGGCTCTTAGCAATTTAGATTGATTTGAGAAACTTCAGAGTACCATAAACCACAGATCACTTAATACTGAGTATGGCAGTAAAATATATCTGTACCATGAAATGAGTATATTAACAGATGAACAGAAGTATGCAGCTAGAGACTTAAACAAATACCTATTGAGACCAAGGACTGTATAGTGATGTGACATAGAATACACCCTAGGTCCTGCAGGAGTATATGTCCGCCTATTTTTATGTTCCGAGTGTGATGTATCTGTCTGCCAGTACCAGTCGTCCCGTGGGACATAATTATATCCACCTGGAGGGCCATTCTCCCTCCAAGCTTCATAACTTCTCCTAAACTTGTTCCTCTCTCTGTTGAAAACACTTTGCATGTGTCTTATTCTTTGCTGCAAAAAAGCAAATAAAAAGTGAACATACTGAAGGGAAATGGGAAAAGGACCTGAGAAGATGTTGAATTGAGACATTTAAGGGATGAAATAGGAATCATTTGTTCCTCGTGAATGTGTATAACTTTAATTAAAACATAGCTCACGATAATTTCTAAACCTTAACAGCAGCAGTTACAATGTATAGGCAGCATTCATATAATGTCCGACTTCCAAATTCAAAGTCCAAAGATAAATGAATGTCTTGGAATATAAAGAAGTTAAAAGGATTATGCATTATTTAAAACTTACAACTCTCTCTTGTTCCTCCTCATATTCCTGTTGCATACGTTGGTAATATCTTCTCCTAGCATCCTCACTGAAACTTCCACGGTTAGAGCTGTTACTTGCATTCCTCCAAGATGTTGTCTGCATCTTATTGAACTTTTGAAAGGGAGACATAAAAGGAACATATAAGTAAATGATGGAAAGAATCAAAATACAGACAAGTATAAGCATACAGCGGAGACATAGGATGATAAATCAGTCATCTGTTATTGGCTAGCTTCCTGACTACACAGCATTTTTGTTGGGATAACAATATAACCAAAGGGATTCCGACATATAGCAGGGAGACTGAGAAATAATCAAATAATAATTGAATGCAATAGCAAGAAAAGAGTTTGTTCCTACGCAAATCCATTGTTGGAGTAGAACTGACGAGGGAGAGAGGATTGACAGGAATCTTACCCTACTGGTCTATCATAATAATGCTCGTCTATGGGGTAGACACATTAAATTTGTTATTGCCGAACTGTACTACATTTGAGCAAACAATCTATTACTCCCAAACATCCAAAAATGTAAGTCATATTCAATACTATTATGAAAGCATTTGGCAAGACAAATTCAATACTATTTATTAAAGCTAACCTATATATTTTTCCATGTATTAATGGTCGAACTCTCATTTTGGGACTGAGGGAGTAACTACCGACTATTAGATGTAAAAAAAACCCTATATGGTGTTTTAACCTAAAAAGAATGTTCCACCCCACAACACAGATCATGTCTCTATACTGTACAAGGCTCAAACCATAAAGTTTTGGGGGCTTCGCTTCAATTCATTCTGCTTGAATAGAACAATCCTGATTAGATAAGGAGCTGGAACAGGACATTTAGTTTGGGATGTCTACATTTCTCTACTACTTAAAAAGTGGAGATGCCCATCTCCTCCCCTCCGCACCCCCACCGAGAGGAGCGTGCCCCATACATACCCCCCCCCCCACCCCCTCCACGCGCGTAACGCAGCCACAATCCAAACCCATTGCCAATCATATGGGCCAATGAATCAATGTCCGCATGGACATATTATTAGTTCAAAGAAAAGCAACAGTTTGCATTTGACCAATCAACAAACAGATAGATGCTAACTTGGATACCTGACTGTAGACCCAATCAACACTTCTGCGAACTTGAGCAACCTGAAAATTACATGGTAAGAAGAAACAGAAAGGTCAAGCACAGGTGATCTTTGCAACTTGTAAGTCGTAACAATAGCTTACAACAAGGGTTTGTTTCCAGCAAAAACAATAACCGTATATCACAGTTGAACGGAGATGCGAAAGGATTTCCAATAATAGCAACAATCCTTAGCAACCCACCTCGCAAACATGAGGATGGGAGTAAGTACCTGCCTAGCACAAGGTTTACCCATCTGCAGTGCTCGTGCAATCTTAAGATAGCATTTAGGACCTTGGGGCTTTGGTCAGCAAAGAGACATATGAAGCCAAGAGCATTACTACTAATAACAGGTTTAAAGAGCCACATGCTTCGTTGCCACAAGGAGCTGCATAAGAACCACTAAATCCTTGCAGAGGCTAGGAATGTTCTCAGTGCAGTTGTATCACCTTGATATAATTGACCGGGTTCAATAAAAACTTGCATTATCTTTAAAAAGAAGCACTGAAGGTGCCACTACCTTGGGCATGAAACGATGCAAACAGCCTAATTGGAGCATTTGACGCCGAATTGCAGATACAGGAGCAAATTTCATCAAAGCAACAACTAAATGGAAACAGTCATGTCATCACGGAAGGCGTGAAACTAAACAAGAAAGCTAGTAAGCTGGGCACTTGAAACAGGACTGTATTCGTATTGAATCAATCAACCAGGTCATCGACTATCAATCAACACAAAAGTAACAGACTAACAGAGAAGAGGGGATGCTCTGCTCACCGCGAAGGTGGCGGTGGTGGCGCCGATGAGGCCGAAGATGAGGATCCCCCACGCCTTGGACGGCCGCCGCTCCTGCTCCGTCCGCCCTCCGCCGCCACCGCGGCCGGCGCGGTCGTCCTCCCGCGAGGCCATCTCCCTCTCCCACCACGGTGCTCGCGGCCCCTTATCTCACGCGATTCGAGCTCGACGGCTAGGCGCGTGGGAGGCCAAGCTCATGCTTCCCCTCGGCCGAATTCCCCCCGCCCCTACGTCTCCGCTTCGATTCCCCTCGCGTGGCGTCCGCTGCGGTTGGTTGGTTGGTCGGTCGGAGCGGCGCCGCGCGGGGTGAGGAGGATGATTCGGAGTTGGATTGCTGGGCGGCGCGGCGCGGCGAGGAGGGGAGGGGAGGTGGAGGTGGAGCCGCGCGTGGAGGCAGGAGGCGGCCGGGGACGGGAGGGAACCGCGGGTCGTCGTGCGTCGGGGAGGCGCCAACCGAGTGGCCGACCGTGGCCGTGGCCGTGGCGTGGCACGGGGTGAAAAAATCGTGGCGTTTCTTCGGTAAGGTTCGATCGGCGGCACGGTGACGACGTCGGGATATCTATTCTGTAGACTGTAGCATAGAGATCGGACGGATATGTGTCGTGATAGCGAAGCCGTAAGCGAAACTAGTTTCTATTCAAAATGTGCTCGAAGGTCGCGTGTATGAATTCTACCTCATCACTTATACAATATGGAAACGCAAGTACTATTCGTAGATAAGCTCTAGATGTAACTAAATCTTACTTTGTCTGTTTCAAAATATAAGTATTTTTAGAATAGTGTCAAGTCAAACTTTCTAAATTTTAACTACTTCATCCATTTCACAATATAAAACTTTTTAGCATTAACATCTAAATAAATTTGGGCAATGCTAGAAAGTCTTATATTGTGAAACGGACGGAGGGAGTACTAATAGCAAAAAATTTAAAAAGATTAATCATGTATCATTAAACGAACCATCATAATATATAACTCTTTTTATTTAAAACATCTTACTTTTGTAGATTTGTAGATACTGTTAGTCAAAGTAGCATAAAAAAACCATATCGATAAACAAATGTTTATATTTTGGAGCGGAGGGAGTAGTAGAGGGACAGCAATAAAAACTTTTTTGTAATCATTGTATTTTGAGTAAGATCTTCCAGATCTTCTACTTAAGAAAGCCCACCTGGTTTTAGATGATTATATTAATTTTTAGATATCATAAGTAAATATATATCCTGACATCACTGTACTTCAAGAAAACATGATTTTAAATAGACCATATTCACCATTTGATAGCTTTTAGAAACTTCCTAGCTCTATTAATTTATGGCCGTCCAAGTTAAACGGTACTTTCAAACACAAGAATTTCTCTTCACAATATATTTTGTTTGGAAAGTAGAATCTTATTGGGTTTACGATGAGTTCACTCTATAACCCAACCACTAATAACTATTTTATATGATTTGTTTTAGTCAGTTTAAGCTGTCGTCTTTCTCGTTCGGATTCATCGAAAAAAACAAGGAGAACGTTGTGACTGACAAATGACAAGCAGGTAAAACATGAAGCAAATGGTGAGCCCTTCCTTGTTGCATCCGTCTTCTACTCCTCTAATGTATCATATTGCTCACAAGTAAAAAAAAACGTCGAATACATTCACAATTACCATCGATTATCACTATAGCGCTCCATTTCTCGTGCGACAAGCACAATGAGAAGGACGATGACGATGGTGGTTGTGGCACCTGGCCTGACATGATGCTCTTTGTTTCGATCAACAAGGACGACAAGGAGAATGACAATGGCGGCGGCAACAATAACGAAAAAATGATGCTTTTTTCTAACTTGCTGCTTATTCCTTACGGACAGACGAGATGAAATTGGGGACGGAAAAAAAATTGTGCTTACATATATACAAATGATTTAGATGGGTTTATAGCCTAACCCAATCCAGCGCGTAAAAACTAGCTAGTCAAGCGGTTTGGTTCATTGGGATACCCAGGTTGTACGTGAACACCTCTGCATAAAAGATCATTCCTAAAATATTTCTACCGTTGGCCTCTCTACATGGAGAAAATTGTTAGTGTGCCATCTTCAAATATGGGTTTCACCGGAATGTTGTCTTGCATTTTGATTTTGCTAAATTACCAATTTCAAATAGACATTGCACGTTAGAGTGCCATTTGCCATATAAATAGACTGAAATGTCCTCGTTCTCTGTTTCTCTTTCAACTCCGATGGCCTTGCTACACTGGCTTGAACCGTCATCGTCACGTGCTGCTGAAAAGGGACATGGACGAGTACACTACACCTAGCCAGCCCACCGCTGGCACCCCATCGTTTAATTGTGCACCGCCAAGCTGTGCAGTCCGGCTTTTCTATCAGCACGACGTGAAGGCCGCCATGACGCACGGAGTGCCAAAGAGAGACATGTGCGGGGAGTTCGCAGGATGACGACAGATGTATTATGGAGATGGCTTTGATTAGGCGGCACAACTAGGAAGTGATGTGGGTTGAGCTGATGAAGTGGAGCGCAGTGCATCGTCGGTGAGAGTGATGGTGGTCATGGCATTCGGTGGTGCTGCCGACAAACACATTGACGTGTTTAAAGGAAAGGAGAAGTGATGTTCAAGTGAACTTTTGTTTATAATAGTATTCGTATAGACAATGTTTAAAATGATAATTTAACGATATATAACAATAGACGGCACAACTATGAGGAAACCCTTGTTGAAAGATGGCAAGATAGCAATTCTATCCTCCACCTTTTGCTGCCGCTCTCGCCATACCGACTCGTGTCGCACGGTCGCGCAGTCGCACCGTCGCGGTTCGTCCCACGATCCCTCGTGGACTCGATCCAACCGCTCTCCTCCATCAGTGCCCGAGTGCTAGACCGGTGGGACCCAACGCCACACCACCGGCCGCCGCCGCCGCGCCGCCATTCGCGATGCTCCGCGCCGCCGTCTCCCGCCTGCGCGCGCACCTCCACCCCCACCCTCACGCCCACCACCACCACGGCCTACCCTCCGTGACGCCCGCTCCGCTCCGCTCCCTCTCCACCCGCTGGGGCAAGCGCTCCTCCCCGACCGCGTCGCCGCCCGCCGACTCCGACGACGAGGGCTCCCCGCGCGGCCTCTCCCTGCTCCCCCGCGACCCTGAGCGCCCGCCGCGGCTGCTGGTGGTGCAGCCGCGCCTCCGCCCGGGCTCGCTCCTCGACTCCAAGCTCGCCGAGGCCCTCAACCTCGCCAACTCCCTCGAGGAGCCGCGCGACGGCTTCTACAAGGAAGGTCTCGCCGCCAAGGGCGCCCCGCCCCACCTCGTCGCCCAGAACCCCTCATCCCGCGGCCGCTCCCATGTCGGTATGTGGCAATCTTTTGTTCATTTCCAGCGGTTAACTCAAGCGGGAGTGTATTTAATCGTAATTGTATTTCGAAGGTTTAGGTCTTTTCTGCATGCCGGCATGCGATATGCAGCGATTTTTATTTAAATTCTGGCACACCTGGGGTTTGTTGTGATAAGATTATTAGACGAGCACTTTTAGCATTGTATGAATGAAGGGCGAATTGTAAGGCTTGAATCTGATTGTTTGAATTTTACTTATAAGATTATTAGATTAGCACTTTTAGCATTTTATGAATGAAGGGCGAATTGTAAGGCTTGAATCTGATTGTTTGAATTTTACTTATAAGATTATTAGGTTAGCACTTTTAGCATTGTATGAATGAAGAGCGAATTGTAAGGCTTTAATCTGATTGTTTGAATTTTACTTATAGACTGAGCTTTTTGGATGGCACATACTAGAGGGCTGTGCATACAGAGTTGGGTGAGATTTGCTCATGAGTACTCATATAGGCGCATTACTCTACCTATTCTTCTGTCTTGAGAAAACGGGAAATAAGGCTGGCTAGATTGGCTTGAGGTTATTTCTAATTGCATCTGTTAAGGTTAGGGTATGCTTAGTGATGCAATACATTCTATAGATCTGCCAGTTATTTTTACTGGAAATGGTATAAAATAAGTCATGTTTCTTTGGAAGACCCTCATTGGCATTTCTATGTTGCTCTGAAGATGTGGTTGTAGTACATTTTCTTAGTGGTGAAGTTGATTTGTACCTTTGAGTCTTTAATCCTTTCAAAATGTCAAAATTATTTTCTCCTGAGGTGCTAACCACTTTCTTGCTAAATATGCGTAGTTTTTTGTTTGCAATGTTTGAACTTCATAACCCAGACTGAATTTTCTAGAGTTCGATCAATAAGCAAATAGGTGAAGTCTTGAGCTTCACTGGTTGACACTTCCAGCTGTGCTATCAAGTAACTTTATTTGTTAGAACTTTTTGCCAGCATTTGTATAGTTCTATACTTCTGTTCACCTAGGAGAGTCTTTCGTCGGCTTTTCTTGGATTATAGGATTTAACCTTATGTGACAACTTGTCATACAGATAAATTTTTTGGACCTGGAACTGTGGATAATGTTAAGTGCTACCTGAGGACATCGGAATCAGAGGTGCACTCTTTATTTGTTTCTTGTACATAAACATGACTACGGTGTAACTTCATTTGTAGTTTTACACCCCGGATGATCCATTATATATTCCATTTGTGTTGTGATCGCACTTGCTTATGCTTTCTTTTCTATTGCACGGTCAATTCCGACATGTATGATATATGAAGGAAAATATTCCAGTATGCCTTAAGCGCCATTTATCTGGTATTCCTTTGAATCTAACAGGAAGGAGTAGATGCAGTTTTTGTTAATGCAATTCTCACTGGAATCCAACAAAGGAACTTGGAGGCAAGTGCTCCTGCTTATTTTTTGTTAGATTTTGTCGAAGTTTCAATTATTGTGCCGCATTCTGAATTTCTGAGCCTCCTGTCCTTTTTGTTCATGATGATATCTTATTTTGCAGGTTGCCTGGGGTAAGCCGGTTTTAGATCGTGTTGGGCTTATAATTGAGATATTTAATGCTCACGCTGAAACAAAAGAAGCAAAATTACAGGTCCATTCCATTTTGATATCTGACCAAAATGTCACTCTTGTCAGATCTTTTGAGTGCATGTATATGGTTCTCTTTGATGCATAATATTCATGGAAATATGCTGTGACATTTGGATATTTGTTTAATTGCTCTATTGTTTTGCTTGGCACAGTCAGAGTTAGCAGCTCTCATGTACATGAAGACTAGACTTGTCCGTGTCCGTGGTCCAGGTGGACGATTAACTTTTGGTTCGAGTGGTGAAGCTGAAGTTGTAAGTGCTCGAGGGTATGTCTGCTCTTAATCATAGTCAGCGGTGGTAAAATATTGTTTGATGAATGATGAGCAAAATTTAATGTGGATGCCATCTTTGGTACAATGATATTGTAATGTCAAGGATGAACTTTAACCTGTGCTGGTCCACATTTTGAAACATGGTAAACTTGCATGTTCTTGTAGTTGATTTCAACCTGCAAGATTTCAACATTTAAATTGTACTTATACACTTATGTAGTGACATCAACATTGCTCTTTGTTTATATCGTTTAGAATTATGAACTCATTTTTTATCATGCACAACTGGATAATCATGCATATTCCTGGTACGGTTGTAACTGCAGAAGATGAAATTCCCACTATAAGAAAATGATCACTATGGTCACACTGGTTTTTAACTATTTTTGGTGCAAGAACTAGAGTGTTATGTCTTTTTTTTTCTTTATGTTGTGGATACATTAGGGCATAGATTTAGCATGCTAATGTAAAAGTGGTGCTGCCATTGTTTCCTTATCAATTAGTTCAAGTACGATGTACTTGCTGGTATAGTTCTAACATAGCTGCACAGGTCCTTCAGAGAAACATTATTATGTGGCTGTTGCATGTTCATTTTGGTATGTGCCTCGTGTGATTTGCTAGTTGAATACGTAAATTTGTTATGCATTTGATAACATGAAGTATTCAAATTCAAAATGGGCATAGATCCACTTGTCAATCTTCATTGTTATTACTTGTTTTGTTTGTATTTACTATACACAGTTTTAAATGTGCATGGAAATAATTGAAGCTAGTATAAAAAAGGAAGTTGACATACATTTCCTTTTGTCATCACTGTGCTGATGTTGTAGTTGCTAAGAATTTGTGGCCATCTTAAACACATTTTTGTTGAAATCTTATTTCTTATTGTGTCTAGTGTCCTGATCTTGACTAATTCACTGTTGTGGCTTTTAGGAGAGGAAGTGGGGGACGTGGCTTCATAAGTGGTGCTGGTGAAACAGAACTTCAACTACAGCGGAGGAGGTGCCTAACAGTTGATTGATAGAATCTTGTTTGAACCTGATTTTTATCAGAAATTTCTCATCGTTTTTCCTTTTACTGCATCTCGTGTAGAATCCAGGAATGCCGTGTCAGATTGTTAGCTCAAATTGAAGATGTACGTCGAACTAGAGCGATACAACGCTCAAATCGAAAACGGCATGGCAACTCATTTGGTCAAGAGCTTGTAACTGTTGCTGTTGTTGGCTACACTAATGCAGTACGTTGATCTGCCATTGCAGTTCTCTCCCTTAATATTGGACAACCATTTTCTATGCTCTTCCAGAAATACAGCGAAATATATCTGAGCTTTCTACAAACTCCTTCCTTTGATGCTATCTTTTACAGGGAAAATCCACTCTAGTGAGTGCACTTTCTGAAACTGATCTATACAGTGATGACAGGTATGATGAGAACTTTTCCCTGTATAGCTTACTATTTTAAATGTGCACTGTGTAGCCAAATCATTTTACTGTTTCCATGCAGGCTATTTGCTACAGTGGATCCCCGCTTACGCAGTGTGATCCTCCCATCAGGGTACCTTAATAGATTTTTCATTCATCTATTGTATGTCAGTAGATTTGATTTGTGATTAGTGCATGTTCAGTATATAATCTTTTTTTTTTGTCAAATGCTATTCAGGAGAAAAGCACTTCTTAGCGATACTGTTGGCTTCATCTCAGACTTGCCTGTGCAGGTAGCTTTCTTGATTTAATTTTGACCTTGCAGATTGTTTTGACACAATCGTGGATTTAGCGTCTACCATTTTGCATACAAGTTATTAGTTTATTTTGCATAGTTTTGTACTCTGCCAACAGCACTGCTGGCACGATTTAAAGCGAAACCATCTGTTATGCCGACCTCTGCTAAACCCCAACATTCACCTTACTATAAAGATTTGGTTAATACATTTTTTTAAGAAAATGCTGCAGAGAGGCTTGTATTACATTGTGCTACTAGGTTAGAACTGTGCAGAGTTGATAGTAAAAGAGAGAAAAGAGCTGGCACTGCAAGTTAGTTGCAAGTATGTGGTTTGAAGTTCACATATTCATTACTTCCTAGTTTCTCTATTATCTTATCTCTTAGATTGAATTATCTTAGGAATGCTCTTTTTAACATGAGGTCTTAGCTCATGAAGTGCTAAGCAAGAGTGACCTGAAATTCCTTACTCTATCTCTCCCTGCCCTTGTGGTGTTGCTGCCAATCACAGCACTATCATGCCACTTTGGTCTAGGCCTCCAGGGGAACCTTAATGATGCATGAAAGCCTTTTTCAACTACTGTGGTGACAGTAATAATATAGTAACCTTTCTTGTGCAGCTAGTGGAAGCATTTCATGCTACTTTGGAAGAAGTTGTTGAAGCAGATATGTTAGTGGTATGTATAATTAACTTATCTCCAATTCATTTTTTATTGGCATTCATAGGTTGAAGATGGCTTCTGTCGAGGAGTGATCCTCTCTAGCGGGAGATCGTGAGATCCCCTTTAGTGAGTTCGGCCGGGGGAAAAGGCTCGCGTGGGGAGATCGCGAATCCGCCCTCAATGCTACTAAAACGCGTGTGGGCACTAAGATTATACAGGTTCGGGCTGCTATGGAGCGCGATACCCTACTCCTGTGTGTGAGATTATGGCTGAGTGTTACAAGGGTTCCTAAACTCCGGAGAGCGCTCCCACTTCTCTTCTCCTAGAGTTCAGGCTTACTGAGAGTCGCTCCTTTTCTCGGTGGGCAAGGTCCTCCTTCTATAGTTCAAGGGGATACCGCATGCACCGCCTCTACCTACTCTTCTACGAGAGGGGGACCCACTCTACCTTGACCGGACTGCGACCTGTGCCTTCGCCCGGAAGCTAAGCAGCAGTCCGTCCTTGAGCGGGACCCAACGCACCCCCCCCGCCTGACACGGGGGACAGCCCTGTCATTCCCTCATAAATGGGTGAAGACTTGTGGCGATCCTCCTCTCACGGAGGGAACTCCGAATGACGTTTCGATGGGACGGGACATACCTACCTCCACTTCGCCGGATACAGAGGCGACGTGGGGGCACTGCCGCCCGTTCAGTCGAACGTGACCGGCGACAGGCCGGTCACAGACTAGTCAGACCCGATTGACGTGGATCAGTGGTGCGGCACCGCACGTCCGTCCTTACCGCATTAAACGCGGTGAGGGATAGTTGGGGTGCCGCGCATTGATGGCTGTTCAGCCTGGGCTTCCTCCCCTCGCTCCCCCCGCCACATAGCAGCTGGGGGAGGGCCTCGGGGCAAGGCAACGCGAGAGCTCGAGGGGCATGACGTGGCACCCCGAGGCCCCCCAGCCGCTTCTGCGACCTGCGACTCACGAGGTGCGGGGGTAGGGCCAGGCTGTAGAGCCATGTGGCTGGATGGGAAGGTAACTTCCCCTCACTTTGCATACCCCCGGGCCCATATCTCCGACAGTAGCCCCCGGCACCACGTCGGACATCGGCCTTGTGAGGGCAGTCTGACGTGGCGCCTCACGTCTTCCCGTGCCGAGGTTGTGGGCCCGACGGGGAATCCTGACGGTTGCCGCCGCGCGGCCAGGCTGGCGCATTAGCCATAATGGCGATTTGACCGCCATTAACCGCGCTGATGATGGGGGCGCCTAAGGCGCGAAAATCGGGGGGTCGACCAGACCACGCCCAGAATCGTCAGCCACGCCGCCTCGACTCCCTCGCCTGCCAGGCACGCGACGGGACCGACGGCGGGCCCGCCTAATCCGCGCCCACGAACATCGCACGCCCCGCGCTGAGTGTGCCGCTGACAGGTTCACTGAACGCGGGGCGCGGATTCAGTGGGCGACGTGATGAGTGGACGCGAGAAACGATGAGGCGCATGAATCGAGGAGACAACCGCGGGGGCGTGAAACGAGGAGACGAGCGCGGGCGAGGCGGGGATAAAAGGATAAGGGGGCGAGTTCGTCCCCTTCTTCTCGCCGACTGCTCGCCCGCTCACTCGTTCTTCAAGCCCCATCGCTTCTCTCGCTCCACGCCATTCTGTACACCAAGCTCCTCGTCGTTTCCCCGCCGGTCACCATGGCCCATGACGCTGGTGACGCTGTGCTCCCGGCGTCGCGCATCACGGCAGAGATGCATCTTAGCCTCGTCCGCAAGATCATGCCGGAGGACGCCGCCGTGAGGGTGGGGGAGTCACGGCCGCGGCCGTGGTATCCAGAGCGATCCGTGCACCTCCTGTCCTTCGCCATGGTGGGGTTGATCCCGCCATTTTCCAGGTTCTTCCATGAGGTTTTGGATTTCTACGAGATTCAAGCCTTGCATCTCGCACCCAACGCCGTGATGACGCTGGTCATCTTCGCGCACTTGTGCGAGATGTTTGTCGGGGTGCGGCCGACGATGCGGCTGTTCCAGTCCTTCTTCATCCCGCAGCTGCAGCAAGGCGCGGCGGTGGGAGGATGCTACCTCCAGCCCCGGCCGGGAATGGCGGGGTAGTACATCGAGAGCCACCTCTGCAAGAAGTGGGAGGATTGGAAGAAGGATTGGTTCTACACCGCGCTACCGGATCATCCGCGACTTCGGCTCCCCGTCGGCCCTCCTGAACGATCCGCCGCGTGGTTGGCAGTTTCGGAACTGGGCGAGGAGTACGACGCCGTGCGGGATCGCCTCAGGGGCCTGCGAAGCTAAGGCTTAACGGGGGCGATGGTGTTCGGCGACTACCGCCGTCGCATCGCGCCTCTCCAGGAGCGGTCCCGCGGCGCGTGGGAGTATACTGGGCACAACGATCCCATGCGCACCCACGTGGGTGAGCGCTGGGACTGGGGCGAGGAGGACGCGAAGACGGTGATCCGGCGAGTGCTGGGCCTGGACACTATCAAGCAAACGCTGATTCCGGACGGGATCCTCCCCCTCTGCAGCGACCGCGACCGGGAGAGTATCCTGGCTGTGATGTCGGCAGTCGGTGCTGGCAGGGGTCGGTCCCGCCGGAGCGGCGCCGGTGGTGGCGGCGACGGCGCGGGTAGCAGCGGCGCGACCGTAGGCGGCAGCCGGGCCGGCGGCTCCGGCGGGGGCGTCGGCTCCTGGGCGCCCGGTCCGAGCCATGGACCCGGGGGGGACTCGGCCGGCGACCCGAAAGGGAAGCGGAAGGCGTTCGAATCTCGGCTGCCTTCTCCCCCGCGTGGAGGGGGCGCCGAGCGAACGGCGGACCGACCACCGGCGGGCCACAAACGCCCCGCCGCGTCCGAGGCTGGACGGAAGAAGCGGCTCCGGAAGATAGGGCAAACGGAGCCGTGCCGGGGGAGCTTCATCGAGCCCCGGAAGTGGACCTTCAAACGCCCTCCTCGCAGGAATGATCGCCAGCATCCGACTCGGTGCTCTCTATCCATCTCGGCCTCCTGTTCCTTCCTCTTCTTTTTTTTTTAACGTGATTGGGGTTCTCCTGTAGCGGGATTCCTTCCCAGGGGGTCTCGGCGTCCGATCCCTTGTAGGGGTCAAAATCCGAGCGGTGGGATCGACCGGGACCCGGCCAACCCGGTGTCACGGGGCCTTCGCAGTACCCTGGTGGGGCCCCCGGGCCACACGCCGGGTCTGGTTCCGAGCCCGCCACAGCCGAGGTGCAACCATCCGCGGGTGATAGCAACGGCGACGGCGTCCCCCCGGGGGCGATCCCGAGGGCGCGACCTACGAGGAGCGCCACTCGGGGGCGGAGGCCAAAGCAGGTCGTGGCTCGGAGTCCGAGGTGGAACACGCTCCGGGGGCCGAGGCGGGGCACGGCCTGGAGGCTGAGGCCGGGGGCGGGCCCGAACTCGAGGCCGAGGCCGAGTCTGCCCGAGGGGCCGAGGCGGGGGGTGACGGGGGCAACCGTTCCCCTCTGCATTTGGGGCGTCCTCGGGGCTGGCCGCGCGGAAGAGGGGCCGAGAGCAGCCCCCAGTCTCGCGGGGGGTCCAGCAGCACTCCGTCATCTCGGGGGCGGACCGTCTTTTTCTTCTCCGACTCCCGTGAGCATGGAGCCACTCCTGCAGGTGCTCGCCGCTGCCGACTCCACCGTCCTGGAGGGGCTCAATGCCCAAGTTCAAGCCCTAGCGGACGAGCAGGCGGCCCTGGAGGTGGAGTGGGCGCAGCTCGCGGCGGACCGCGCGCGAGTCGATGAGGGGCGCCGCGCCGTGGACGACATGGTGGAGGTGGGGCGCAAAATGCGCCAAGCCCAACTGGCGGAGAACTAGGCGCGCGAAGAGACGCTGGACTCGGTTATGCGGGAGACGGAGGAGGAGCGGCAGGCGGTGCTTATCTCTTCGAGCGTACTGGATGAGGCGCTGGGCGACATTCGCTTGCAGTACGAGGCCCACGCCGAGGATCTGGCGAAGAGGGTCGAAGACGCCCGCGGAGTCCTCGACGCGGCTGCTGCCTAAGAGCGGCGGGCGTCGGAGGTCGACGCCTCGCTGCGGGCTCGGTTGGCGGCGCTCGAGGCCAATCGCAAGGCCTTAGACGAGTGCGCCCGCTCCGCGCAGGAGTTCGAGGCCACGATCCATCGACGGATTGAGGTCCTCGACCGTAACCAGTGCGAACAGGACGGGCGCAGTCGGGAACAGGCGCAGTGAGCCCGGGAGCTGGAGGAGCATGCTCGGGTGCTGGAGGAGCGGGCGCGCATGCTAGACCAGCGCGAGACCACTTTGGCCGCCCGAGAGAACGGCGGCCGAGGCGGAGTCCTCCCTTCGCCTCCGCCAGGAGGCCGCAGCCGAGCGCAACCAGACCACCCTTGCCGCAGAGGCTTCGGTGGCTCATCGCGCGAAGGGGTTGCGGCTTCGGGAGGAGGCGTGCCGAGAACGGGACACCGCGCTTGCCGCACGCGAGGCCGAGGTGAATCGCCGCGAGGTGGCGGCGCGTCGGCTGGGCGAGCAACTCGCGAAACGCGAGGAGGCCGTTGCCGGGCGCGAGGCCCGGCATTTAGAAGGTGCCCGCGCTGAGCGCGCGGCGATGGCGGCGAGGGCTTCCGAGCTGGAGGCCTGGGAGAAGGAGCTGGCGGCAGGCGGGCAGCCCGGCGGCGCGGAGTTGATGAGCCAACTCACCGCGGTTCAAAGCACCCTCGCCGACCTGCGGCTCCTGGTGCAGGACCAAGCTGGAGAGATTGCGGCCCTCCGCCTCACCAACGAGATCGGACCTGGCCAACTCTCCGACGCCGTCGAACGGCTGGAGTGCGCGGGGCGCCGGGTAGGCATCTCCGTGCGTCGGGACAGGAAGCTCCCGCCCACACAGCCGGCACTCGCGCTCCGGCTGGACGGGATGGCTGCGGATTTGGAGAGGCTGGAGGAGGAGGTCGGCGAGGTCGTGAAGTCGTTGTCGGCTTCTTTGGCGCGGGCTGCGGTGGAACTGGTCCTCGCAAGTCATCAAGCTCGCGACCCCGACTTCGTCCTGTGG